GATGGATGAATGGATGGATGATGGATGAATGGATGGATGATGGATGAATGGATGATGGATGAATGGATGGATGATGAATGGATGATGGATGAAGGGATGGATGAATGGATGATGGATGAATGGATGATGGGTGAATGGATGGATGATGAATGGATGATGGATGAATGGATGATGGATGAATGGATGATGGATGAATGGATGATGGATGAATGGATGGATGATGAATGGATGATGGATGAATGGATGATGGATGAATGGATGATGGATGAATGGATGATGGATGAATGGATGATGGATGATGAATGGATGAATGGATGATGGATGATGAATGGATGATGGATGAATGGATGATGGATGAAATGGATGATGGATGAATGGATGGATGATGGATGAATGGATGATGGGTGAATGGATGGATGATGAATGGATGATGGATGAATGGATGATGGATGAATGGATGATGGATGAATGGATGATGGATGAATGGATGATGGATGAATGGATGATGGATGAATGGATGATGGATGAATGGATGATGGATGAATGGATGATGGATGAATGGATGGATGATGAATGGATGATGGATGAATGGATGATGGATGAATGGATGATGGATGATGGATGAATGGATGATGGATGAATGGATGATGGATGAATGGATGGATGATGAATGGATGATGGATGAATGGATGATGGATGAATGGATGATGGATGATGGATGATGGATGAATGGATGATGGGTGAATGGATGATGGATGAATGGATGATGGATGAATGGATGATGGATGAATGGATGATGGATGAATGGATGATGGGTGAATGGATGGATGATGAATGGATGATGGATGAATGGATGATGGATGAATGGATGATGGATGATGGATGAATGGATGATGGATGAATGGATGATGGATGAATGGATGGATGATGAATGGATGAATGGATGATGGATGGATGATGGATGAATGGATGATGGATGAATGGATGATGGATGAATGGATGATGGATGAATGGATGGATGATGAATGGATGATGATGATGGATGAATGGATGATGGATGAATGGATGATGGATGAATGGATGATGAATGGATGAGGGTCGGACTCACACAGTTCTGGAGAGAACGGAGATGATCATCACCGTGACGACCAGGAGCAGCAGAAGCGTCACCGTGGTAACCGCTGGAGCTTCATCTGAGGAAGATAAAATCCCAGAATATCAAACCAACTCCAACTTCATCCTCTCAGATCCAACTTCATCCTCTCAGATCCAACTTCATCCTCTCAGATCCAACTTCATCCTCTCAGATCCAACTTCATCCTCTCAGATCCAACTTCATCCTCTGAGACTCAGATGCTGGTTTAGTTTGGCAGAGCTCAGGTTGCATGTTGCTGCAATAACATGCTGCCACCAACAGGTGGCGCATGAAGATCAGGGCAATGAGGAATGTCGGATTTCCCTCAAACTGGAAACACTCACCATCAACAGTCCAAACTCCAGCCAACCAACCAGTTCCTCACGGCTCAGATCAACTCGCTGCTTTTTCATTTCACTCGATTAAAAACAACAAGATGGCGTCTCTTTCATATGAGTTTCTTGGCTGAGCAGCTCACCGTACTGAGTGGCCACAGGGATGATGAACCTGGACACATTGTCAGCCAATAGGAGCAGAGAATACTCCGTGCTGGGAGTCAGTTTGGAGAAGGTGTGCTGCTGCTGGTCCGGCCACAAAGACAGAGCTGGAAACAGATTATAGACCTGATGGCTGTTCACAGATCAAAGAAACAAACATTTGGTTTTATTTCCTGCCAAGCAGCTAAACCTGGATAATCAGGCTAATTCAGGTGAAGCTAATTAACAATGGTGGGCACCTCTAGCTAAAACTGTCGCTGTGCTAACCCAAAAGCACTAATCATAGATATTAGTTACGCTGATGCTAAATCATGATACCAACATAGTATTCAGTGGAAGCTAACGCTAAAGCGCTTTACCAACATTGGGCTCTCAAAACAATTCATAACTGTGAATTTTTGCATGTATTTGTTTAACTGACACCCTTACAATCATGTGTTGCATTGTTATGTATAGTTCATTTGTTGTTTTACTCGGTTCACTAAAAGAGGGAAACTGCTGTGAAAACAAATTTCTAAATATGAGCATGAATATAATCAGGATTTCTAACTGGCAAAACTTCAACACAGATGTTGAACTTTAACCAGAAAAACGTTTCAAAGTGAGCTAAGATGCTAAAGCAAAAAATTAGCTGTGCTACTAGTGGATTAGCGGAAGATTAACGGATTACTGATGAAATTATTCATCAATATTCACCAATACTGATGAATAATATTGGCTGCTTGGGTCTCATCTTCACTAAATTTCAAAGACACAATACTAACATGCTGACAAAGAAGTTAAAACACGAATGATGCATTTTATATTTATGTATATAAATATTAAAGAGTTATAATGACAGGATGGCTCATTAAACCTCTGAAGAAACGAAATCCACAGCAGCCATTTTGGTCTGCAATATGATAAAAATATGCATAACTTCAGGTGAAATCAGACTTTGTGTGTCGGCGTCTCTCCTCAGCGTCGCTCGGTACCGGTCCACTCTGATTGGTGCGGGCTTCCTTTGCCACGCCCACGCGACAGTCACCGTGGTTTTAGTGACGTTGACGACTTTCAGACCGACGACCTCCATCAGGGCTGAGAGAAAACGCAGCAGAAAGTCACCCAGAGGTCACCCAGAGGTCACGCTGCTCTTCCAGCTCTGTTACAAACAGCGGTTGCCATGGTTACCTCCATTTTCCAGACTGCCGTTCAGAGATTGAGCAGAACCACACCGCTGGTTATAGACGGGGAACACACTGACCAGGTACGGCTCCTCAGGGTCAACACCTGGAGACGCAAACAGGGCAAAAAGCTCAGAACAAAACGGAAACAACAAACACAAAAGAGATTTCAAGAAGCAGCAGCAGCTCAAACATTTGTGATGGTTTGGAAATTTTAACTAAATTCAGCAAAATGGAAATTAGGACTGGACAATAATGGATTTCATAATAGATGTATTATCAATATCAATAGATAACGCATCTATAAAGTATTCAATATTCAATACATAGAATATTCACCGAACTCTGATCCACAAGCGCACGGCATTCTGGGAGATGTAGGCAGAGGAAAGACTCACAGCTAAGCAAGACTTGGTGGCATCAACTAACTCACTCACTCTTTGGCTACCTAGCAACAACCTGTTGAGTAACTTGCACAGCAGCAGTTCCAGGTTTCACAAACAAATCTCATAACTTGGTAAAAACAGAAGAAAACAGCATGGAGGGAAAACTGGATAAAACAGGAAACGTTGACGCTATTTCTGATATTTAAAACCAAAAAGAAAAAACAATATCAATCCTTAATTACTGATATCGACTGATATGAATCACTTAATTTCTTCAGGCCTAAAACTAACATGTGGAGTACCCCAAGGTACAAACCTCGGACCCCTGCTATTTAATATCTTTGAGCTCTCATAAGTAATAATGTTAGTCACCATAACTATGCAGATTTACATGATGATGTCACCAGGTGACCTTTCAACCATCCAATCATTGAATAAATGCTCAGAACAGATAAATGTATGGATGAGCCAAAACTTTCTCTGGCTCAACAGAAAGAAAACTGAAGTTATTTTTGTTATAAATCTAGAGTTATAAATCTAGAGCTATAAATCTAGAGTTATAAATCTAGAGCTGTAGATCTATTTTCAGCGCACAACATCTGGTATTCCAGTTGGAAACCAGAGATCGGGTTGAAGTCTGGGTTTGAACCTTCAGAGACACATAAAGACGGTTACAAAGTCGGTCTTCTATCACCTGAAGAACATTTCCAGGATTAGAGACACCTGGTTAGAATCGCCTTTGATTTATAGTAACAGGAACAATAGATAATATTTGTTTTATTATAAACCATAAACATGTCAGGTGACCTGTGATGACAGCAGAGGAACTAGAACCGTTGACTCTGACCCATCGGCTGTTGGACGGGTTCTCCTCTGAGCGCCAATGAACGAGAACATGGCCGCCAGGCGGCGTGGTGGGCGTCGCCCACTGGACCTGCAGCGCTTCGTTTTCAGGATAATGGCTGGAAATCCACAGGTTCCTCACAGAGAGCCGAGCTGCAGGAGGAGAATGAAACGGTTAGAGAACCCACTAATGAACACGTTTTAAAATCTCCTCATTTTAAAGTTTCCATCAATATGTTTGAAGTTTGTCAGTTTTTCAGAGGAGGCGGAGCCAAACAACCCCACCCATCTGATGTGACAGGAAGTAGTTTTATCCAACATCTGCTCACTTCCTCTGTCAATTCTCAGTTTGTCCTCAGATAAGAAACTCAAACTCACTCAGGATGTTGCAAAAGTGAAGCAACAGAAATTAAAATGTGACAAAGGTCAACTTTCCTGTTTTGATGAAAAGTTTCCGGTGTTTGATTTATGATGAACTGAATCTTCTGATCAGTCAAATACTCACAGTTCTGGTCCTGTGTGTTGATCTGGAGTCGGGTTGCGGGTCCGAAACCGGCTGTGTTGAAGGCCCGAACTGTGGCGCTGTAGTTCCCCTCCTTCACCACCAGGAGGAAAGTCGTCTCAGTGACGTTTTGAAGGTGTTGGTTTGGGTCGATGCGGACCTGGTACCCGAGGACCCGACCTGAACCAGAACCCTGAAATAAATAGAAAACATAGAACATGAGATTCTTCCACTCCATTAAAATGTTTTTGTTACTTTCTGAATTATCAATCAACACGTTATGAAGTGAGTCGCTCTGTATGGAGCTAAATTAGAGCCTTAACATTTGCTTTAAAACTTTTACTGAAGTTTAAAAAAATAGCAAGGAGCTGAATTGTGAACAAGAAATGCCTTTAAAAAAATTTGAAACTATAAAGTTACAAAAACAACTGTATGGAGCAAAATCAGGGCCTTAAAATTTCTTTAATAATTTGAAACTGTAAAATAATGAAAAGGTAAATTGAATCATAGACTTTGCCTGATATTAGCTAAAAGTGGAGCAAATGTTTTCATTTTGTTCTTTTCGTGCATTTAGCTCCAATCAAATAAATTTTTGGGTGTAGATTTAATATGTTCAACATCTGGTTCTTATCTGACAGCATGAATTGATTGGACATGTTTTACCATCCAGACGAGGTGAAGCAGGAGAAACTCATCATCGCCTGTTTTCTCCACTCTGTAGCACATCTCTGCAGGCCTGGAGGGAACTGGAGACACGACGGTTAAAAATGACGTTAACCCGTCATTTCAGGTAATTAATATGAATAAATAGTTTGTACCTCTGTCCAGGGTTCGTACGGTCGTGTCTCCGCTCCAGTCGCTCCGGATCACAGACTCTGAACCAGTCGGAGTTAAATCAGGCCGGGACGTTTTGACTGCAGAGACCAAATACAGATTTCATCAGTCGGTCGAAACAGACGACAACCAACCTGTACTGGAGCTTTTATAGACAGGAAAGTGTTAAACCAGCAGATGTTTAAATCCATAAAAAGAAATAAAAACAAAATGGGTTTACTTGTGTAAAAACAAGATAAATCCTCTTTAGAGCAGAACATTTTCACATGCATACAATAGAGGACAGTGTGGAAACAGCAGGTTTGAAATGAGACAACAACATATTTTCAATTTGATAAGTCATTAGTCACGTCTGAACATGATGCAGTGACACGCAGACAGGATATGAACCTGCAGAACAGGAAGTTACTGAAGCAACTAAATACAGAAAATGTGCACAAAACAAAGTGTGGAATGGAAAAAAATACATTTTCACAAGATGAAATTTGAAGATAAGACGAAACTAGACATAAAACTTAGTTGCAAACCAGGGAGCGATGTGTGCACACAAGATTACATCATGCAGAAAATATCTGATCGATGCACAAAACAAAACAAGAATAATTCAAATGGAAATGATTGAGTTCATTTTAATTTATCATTCAACTGATTGATTGATTGATTGATTGATTGATTGATTGATTGATTGATTGATTGATTGATTGATTGGTTGATGGCAACAGGCTCATTGCCTGGAGAAAGAAAAATGTCTTCAGTAGTTTAGAGATTGATTTAAACCAGAGGAAACGTTTCGACCTGCGTCCCTCAGGAACTGAGGCTGGGCCCATTCGTCTGTCCCGGTCAGGTAGCTCCGCATCCGGGCCGTCACACGGAGAGAACCCAGGACGGCCGCAGGGCTGAAGATCCCCAGGCAGGAAAAGACTTTTGACCCGCTGAGGAAAGACACAAAGACGACGGCGTGTCAGAGGCGCTGCAGCTAAAGAAGAACAACATTGTGCTAAAATACTCAGAAATTTTCTAGAAAAACCAGAACATTTGTGACTGAAGCTGAAAATGTCCTAGAATTTAAAACATTTTTGATGACCTGGTGAAGACGAGCGAGGCTCGACTCTCAGCCTCCTGGCTCCAGCTGCAGGTCACAGATCTGACCCCGTCTGCAGGCTGCTGGTAGGAGCAGGACATGTTCAGCATCTCTGCAGAGCAGAACAAAAACCTGCAGTCAAGTTCAACACAAGACACTTTCAACCATCTCAGTTTGGTTTACTGGACAAAATGTCACCTTTACCCCCAGCTAACAGCTAGCAGCTCTGAGACTTTACTTCCTGCCTGCACATTTACTGATTGTGCTCAAAGATTATCATCGAGAAGCAAAATCGTGGAAACTTCCCATCATCCAGCAGTTACAGTCAGATTCAACAAACTGGAATGAAGCACATATTTCAGTTTAAATTGTAATTTTATAATGTTTATCTGGTCCTGAATTTAGAGGGTCTGAAAAGTCTCCAGGTTGGACTTTTGTCCAGACAACAAACCCACTTAGTCTCATTCTCAAGTCTCATTCTCAGACTTGGCCACGCCCTTCAGTTTTGTTGGCCCCGCCCCTAAATCATCAGGGGGCGGGGCTTCTCAGAGTTCTTTTCCCATTCATGTGGCACACAGAGAACTCCATACATTTGGAATTAAAACATTCTTTATATTTGCCAATAAATGACCAAATATAGTTTAAAATGAAACATAAATAATTCTGAACTCTAAAGATTCGTGTCTCTGTCTCTGAGGTGGCGCCCCTGGAGGAAGCTCCAGGTATTACGACCTTTAAAAGTATTAATACGACATAAAGTATGTTAAAACCTGGTTTCATCAGATTTTTCAGGCTTTGTTCTGATATTTCAGTGTTTCTATGACCGTCTCTCACTCTGCGACGGTGAAGGTGGTGGAGGTTTGCAGTCTGTCGGGTCGGTGACGCAGATCCGGTCGTTTCCCTCACATGGTTTCAGCTCAGAGTGTCTCACTGTTATTTCTACCATAGAAAAACACAAACAGATCCTTAAACTGCTAGAATCTCATATATGCAACTTATTTTAATAAATATTTACTTTACAACAGTTTTAAAGAATTAATGTTTCAGTTCTACTTTTTAAAACAAAGAAAAATTAAGAAAAAATGTAACCAAAGTATTGTCATAAAAAGATATGAATAAAAGATATGAATAATAATTAAGATTAAAAAATGTTGAAGCAAAAATAAAAACCAACCAACCACAAGACTCAGAAACAGCAAAAGTTGATATTTAAGAAAAACACAAAGTTTCTGGAAACTGGATTTAGAAATCCAGTTGTTATTCTATTTAAATATAAAAATGTTAGTTTATGAGAAACGTAGTAAGATGTCAGTTCAAGAATACATTAAGAAGTTTATTTCAGAACGTAAATATTACACTGCCAGTAATAAGGGAAATTACAAATGTACTTATAGTAATATAAATATTAAAACTGTACATTTTAGTTTTAGTAATTTATGAAAAAATGTGTAGAAATATACTGCAAAAAGTAAACTTTTCCATAAATCTGGTCTATTTTCTAATGTAAATATTTTAGTTGACTTGAAGTTTAAGATTCACTAAATGTACTAAGTACTTTAGTCGACTTAACTGCTTATAACCAACTTATAAGCAACTTTGCAGCAAAATATAGAAGCTTGTTTGAAGTAAATAATTCCTCAATATTGAGTTTAAAAAGTTCTTGTTCCACCAACAGATTATTTCATTTATAAGGTGGAAAATGTTGCGTTATAAATGGAATAAATCATCAGATTTGGTGATTTTGCATGTGTTGGGATTTTTCCATATTTTATTATTTTTAAAGTATTATTAAAGTCCGTTATACATAAAGTAGTGAACTCAAATGTGAATCACAATTTTAAAAACAGTAAATTAATGCAAACTTAAAAAATATGACCTGAATTTGTGTTTATTTTCTACTGCAGTAAAACTTTCATAGTGAAACTGGTGAATTTAATGAAATGAGTTTTGGGTTGCAGACTGGTGGGAATCATCTGACTGAACTTTGAACGGATCAATGAAAAAACAAGATTACCCGATCGATCGGATGTGGAAAAAGTTTGAAAACATTTCTGAAAGTGTAAAACGCTCAGAAAAATGAAAGTTTAATAAAAGCTGGATCTGCTGGATTCTGATGTTTTCCTCCATGGAGGAGCTTTGAGTCAAACTCACCGAAGCAGAATCCACCCAGGCGAATCACCAGAGTCCAGATGAGGAAGAGCCGCTCCAGAAAGCAGCGGTCCATTTCAGCAGAACAGAACCAGCAGGAGGAACCTCAGGATTATGGGATTAATTACAGGATTATGGGATTAATCTCAGGAGACATCAGGAGACGCCCAGCTGCTGCCTGAACCTCAAGGAGTCGCCTCTGAGGCCGAGCAGGAAGTGACTGTTCAGCGGCTCGACGCGTCACGCTGAGACCTTCACTTCCTCACCATCATCATCATCATCATCATCATCTCTGCTGGTTTTAACTCAGTAGCGATAAAAACAACTTCGCCTCTTCATTCATTGATGAAAACACAAAATGACCGAGTTAAATAAAAAGTGGTTTCTGAAAAAAAAACTTTTAAGTTCAAATTTACTTTGATGATTAGAATTATAACAAAAAAACCTTTTTGAGGATTAAGTCATAATATAATTTTATGACTATTTTCACAATTTCAGAAATATTTATTCATCCAGTTTTGACTAAAACTAGTCATGAAATACTGAGAATAAAGACATGATCATAATTTCATGTCTTTTTCACAATTAATTCCAAAAATTAAGTGCAACTCATATCAGTCGTTGCTGTAGGAAGGAAAGCTCCCCTGTAGCAGTCTGTGTTACAGAGGCCCTGAAGAAGCCTCTGACTGAAGACTGTTCTAATGTCCATTTGTTTGATTTTCAAACCATTCCTTCACAAATCATACATTCATTTCTTTAGGTCATTTTCTTCTGTCACATTTAAACCAGAATCTTCTGGGTTTTTGTCGTCATCCGTTCATCTCGTGGTTTATAAAGCCGGCTGGTTATGAAGGTTTCAGGTTTTCATTTTCTCCAGTTTGAATTAGTTTTTAAGAGATTTAGTTAGTTTTTACTAGTTAAATATAGTTTAGTTTTAATGTAGTTTTTATTACAATAGTATTTTTTTTCATACTTCGGTTAAATTTGAGGTGCAGAATTTAAAAAGGTCAAATTTGCAGATGGCTGCTTGTGTGTGGAGGAAAAATATAATAAAAAACATTTTCACACTGAATTTCTCTTCAGTGTTAAAGGCTAATAAATTAAATTTATAAAAACAAAGAATATTATATAAACACATTTATATATTCCAGTTAAAGTTTCTCCTCATTAATTACTGTTTTTATTTATCCCAGTTGAAGATGTTTTATCAGTTTTTATTTCTAGTTAACCATTATAAGCTTTATTCCCAGCTTCTCATCAACAGATTGATTTAAATTTGTTTTCAGGTTTGGATCTGAAAGATGAAGCAAACCATAGAAAAAGGAGTTTCAGTTTGAACATTTTTTTGCAGAGCTTTTCATTAATAATCCTCATTAGCGTCAAATCCTTTTATTTGCAGGTCACTGGGGTATGAATATTTATGAGCTGAACTGGTTCTTTACTACAGGAGAAATAAAACTCCAAAAACCAGGAAATTAACAAACTCATCAATTCCATTTTTAATCTCAATTTTTGCTCCAAAACAAAATTTCTGCAATTTTTTTTCATATAAAATGAAACAAAACAAAACAAAAAACAAAACAAACAAAATTACAAAACATTACAAACATTCGAAAACACAAGAAAGAAGCAGGAGAGTGAAATTCTGTACAGACGGACCAGTGGGCCCACATGGAGGGGGAACGTTTTCACTGCGACACACAGAGGCTGCTGCTGCCACCTGCTGGCAGGAAGTCAAACTGCATCATGTGATGCAGAATCAAACGTTTCCGTTTGACCTGATGATTTCCCAGATCGGCAGCCGTCCCCGCTTCCTTTACGATGAACATTATGACCTTTAAAACATTTCAACTTCCTGATTTTAATCGAATCCAGCAGGAAATGAATGTTTTCTAAAAACGCGACGTCCAGACGGTTCCGGTTCTGATTTGGTTCTAAAACCTTCATTAAGTGCTTCCTGTGAACCCACAAAGACCGGCAGCAGGAGAACTCACTGAGCTTCTCCACCCAGAGTTCTGCCGCGGTTCTGAGGAGCCGGATCCGACCATTCGCTCACCGTTTCCATGGAAACACCTCATGAAATTCATGATCGAAAATCCCGGATCGGGTCGGAGGAAAAGAAAACAGAAAAAAAGACAAAAAAAGAGACGAAATCAAAGAGAAAAGTGGAAAAAGAAGCAAAATGGTGGGTTCTGGAGAGACCTGGTGGGTTCTGGAGAGACCTGGTGGGTTCTGTAGAGACCTTATGGATTCTGGAGAGGTTCTGAAGAGGCCCAAAGTCCAAACAGAGGCAGACATGTTTGAAGAAACTCCCAGAAAACCCCTTGGTTCTGACTCCCAGCGGCTCCAGGCCAAACCGGGCCGAGTGGGACGGGACCGGAGCGGGTCCGGTCTGCGTGTGTGTGTGTCCGGGTCGGGCCGGGTGTTATTTGGTGCGGAGCAGCTCCAGCTGGTCCTGGTACTCTGTGAAAAGTCTCTGAAAGCGCAGGTTCTCTCCGATGACGGGCAGAACCTCCCGCAGCAGCTCACGTTTGTGCAGACCCTGAAAACAGCGACACAGGAAGAGACGAACGCAGAGCGGTGACGTTCCTGCTCTTCTGCAGACGTAAATATGAAATAAATCCCGACACAAACCAGACACTTGCCTAAGATCCCACCCTTAGCTTCCCGCTAAAAGCTGCTAGCTAACGAAGACTAGCGCTGGTTTCAGCTGTTAGGTTGTCAACATAACCCACTAAATATTAAATGCAGGCCTGATGTATAGTAGAAGAGGGACACAGTGCTACTAACCGTCAACACCATAACTACTAGATCAGGTCAGGAAAAAGTTTTGAAAGAGAAAAACAAAGATTAAAGTCTCTCATGGCTGACGGTGGATAAATTATTGGCAGCAGCAGCGATTTATTCACATTTCTAACTAAACAGACAGAAACAGAAAATAAAGTTGTTACCAAAGTTGCTGGTTGCCAGGATGAAGCAGCAGATTTGTGGACCGGACCCAGAAGTTCTTTACAGAGTTCCCGGAGCCGGTACTCAGAACCTGGACGGAGGAGAAGGAATATTAATCTGTCAGATTAATAATCTGTAATAAACTCAGCAACATCTCTCTGCTTCCCGACTCACTCTGATCATTTCCACCATCAGAGAAGAGCTTTAGAGCTTCCCTCTACAACATGCACAGGTCAAAGGTCAAGACTTACTGCATTCTATTTCTTTCTAAATGTTTAAAGTCTCATCATTTCCAGATGTAAACAGTAAAACGGTGAGAATAACGAACAAACCGACGGTTCTGAAGGCCTTCTGGTGGACCAGCAGTAAAACACATGAACCCGGTGAATGAACCACTGAGACCCAGAGTAAGTGTTGGTTCTGTCTGCTCAGCCTCGGGTCAGAGCAAACAGAACCCGGCGGCGGTACCTTCGTTGACCAGGAAGCGGGCGTAGATGAGCAGCCAGTAGCGGTACTCCTGCGCCGACTGCAGCGTCAGCGCCGACGCCAGCTGGTTCTCCAGGAAGGCCAGCGTCATGCTCTGCTGCAGGTGATGCGGCGTGGAGGACAGGCGGGACGCCAGCCGCCCGGCGCTGCGGGGGACAGGAAGCGTTAGCCTGGACGCCGAGGCCGGGAGGCGGAGCTTACAGGAAGACCTACTTCAGGTTGCGTCCCTGAACGACGGCCAGCGGCCCCGATGACGCGGCGGCGTCCTGCGACGGGAGGCAGCTCCTGAAGTCGGCACACTGGACCAGAGAGTCTCCTTTGTCCGCAATCAGCGTCCTGCAGGAGACGCAACGTGATTAACCAGAGGTTTAGTGTGTCAGCCGGTCCGGTCGGGTCCGGGTCTCACCATGTCTCCAGAGACAGGCTGAAGCAGAAGGACTTCCCGTTGGACAGGCCGATGATCGGGACGCCCTGCTGGGTCAGCAGGGACAAAGACACCGTCGTCTCAGCGCCTGCTGACACAAACATTCAGTCAGAAATCAGACGTCCTGATGGACATGTGGACGTTTCATCTGGACAATCTGAATCTCACATCCACTTTGTCCAGTCACTGAACTTTTGGTTGGTGAAGATTTAAACTTTCCACCAATGAACTCGTTGGGTTTGCATCATTCAGTGATGTCATCACATCCAGAGCGACCATCTTGTTTGACAAAACGTTTCTGACAAAGCTTTACGAGCCGCACCGCCAGGCTGAGCCGATCTCGTTTATGTTTATAGAAAAAAAAAAAAGGTTTTCTGACAAAACTGTGGAATAAAGTTATAATATTATAACTTTATTCTTGTCATTAAAAAAAAAAAATCTCAACGTCTGGCTCTGATATTCTGTCGTACAAATCACAAAAGGGAAGATTAAAATAAAAGCCACTTTTTTAAAAATATTTTTTATAGGTTAGAATAAAAAGCGAGAAGCAAAAAATGACGACTCAGAACATTTAGACTCACCGGAGAAAATGGTCTGCAGAGATTCATTCTTCACCAGAGCCTTCTGCCTCTGCGCATCCCTGCACACACACACACACACACACACACACACACCACACACACACACACACACACACACACACACACACACACACACACACACACACACACACACACACACACACACACACACACACACACCTTCAGTTTATCCAACATCAACCATCCACTTCCTGCTCTTCATGCAAGCAGCTAATCAATCGTCAGTAGAAGTGTTTCTGTGCGGCGCTGACCAGACAGACAGCGTGGCTCCGGCGGTCAGCACCATGACGAAGTGGGCGGAGCAATGCAGGGCGGAGATGGGCGTGGCCAGCTGGATGGCGGGGAGGAGGCGTCGCCCGCAGCAGGAAAACACCGACAGCATCCTGTCGTCACAGGCGACGGCGAGGACGTCGCTGGAGGAGCGAAGGAAACATTCAGCGGCTCTCATTGGTTCGCTCCGCTAAGACTCAACGGCGCCCCCTACCTGCTCCCCGCGGCGGCCAGCACAGAGCTGGGCAGCAGCGTGTTCCAGTCCCGCCCGTCTCTGGAGCAACGCAGCTGGCTGAGTTTCGAACCGGCAACCACTGACACGTCGTTCTCCACCTCCAGGAACACAGACGGATCCATGCTTACCTGAACACACACACACACACACACACACACACACACACACACACACACACACACACACACAACACACCACACACACACACACACACACACACACACACACACACACACACACCGCTTTGTTAATCGTCAATATTTTCATTCTAACCAGAAATTTTTCTCTGGGATTTGAAAAATGTTGAACTTTTGTGGCGGATTTCAAAATAAACTGCAACCTGCAGGCTGAAGGCTTTCTGCAGACTCGGCGTTGGCAGCCGCAGAACGGCAGCCGCAGCTGGAGGAGCTGCAGCTCTGTTCGGCTCCCGCTCTAGAGGAAGAGGAGTTATCTGGAGGTCAAAGGTCAAACAGAGAGGTCAGGTTACAACGACGACTCCTCATATTTGTTGAAGCTGCCACCATGTTCTGACATTTTAATAAGACAGAAAATTAAAAAAACTCCTCTGGGTTCTCTTGGTGCTAAACAGAAACAACCAATCAGAGCCAGGAGGCGGGCCTTAGCGCTGTTAATCCCTCCCTTTCTACCATTAGCATTGCATGCCCTAAGCTAGTTAGCATAGCCACAGATAAATGGTTTTCCCATAACAGTAAGTCGTTATCAGAATATTTAGCAGCGCATACATGAGGTTGATTAACCTCATCCTGGCTCTGATTTGTTGTTTTTGGTGACAGTTTTAATAATTAGTTTTTATTATGTTTTTATAGAAGCTGCTTTAGCGTCAGTTTGACTCGTTACCTGGGTGAAGGGCTGAGAGATGGAGGCGGCCATCTTGTCCTTCCTGGGCCGTCCCTTCTTCCTCTTCTCCACCACCTCTCCTCCGTCCAGCAGCAGCTCGGGTTTCCTCTTGGCGAACGCCAGGTTCTTGTTGATGGCTGCCATCTTGTCTTCGCTGTCGCTGCTGGTTTCCTCCTTGGCTTTGGCGTCCTTCAGGGCGGAGACGGCGTCCTTCGGCCTGCTGGACGGACAGAATGGGTGAGACGGTTCCCGACGCGTTTTCAGGGTTCGTTCCTGGGGGCGCTCACCTCTCCAGAGGGGCGAGTCCGGCCGTGGACGAGATGGCCGACGGGATCCCCGGCGTGGCCTTTGACCTCTCTGTGAAGCGGGAGTCCAGGGCTTTCATCGGCTCGATCTTGGAGGCCGAGGTGAGCAGCAGGCCGGACTTCAACCTGAAACCAGAGAAGAAGAGTGAGTGGCCGACCTGCTGGAGGCTGGAACCGGACCAGAACCCCAGAGGCCGAACGGACCCGTCTTTGTCGTCCTCCAGGGCTTTTGCGGTGCCGGCGGCAGGAGGCGAGGTGAGCAGCCCGTCCTGGTTGGGCCGGGCGCCCAGAGACGACGGCTGACCCGGGCTGGAGTCGGAGTTGAGCTGCGGAGCGATCTGATTGGACAAGGAGGAACCGGAGGGCAGGATGGGGGCGCTGTTGAAGAGAGCCGGAGAGAAATCCCTAAAGAGAAACAGAACAGACTTAGTCTGATAAACCAAATGGATTTTTATGAGATTCTGCCTTTAATCCCCATATAACCTCCGTTTCACAGCACAAAACGACTCAATGTTTAAATCAACATTCAGTGGGTTTGAGTGGATAAAAACTTTTCTTAGACCAGTTGGTCTAAGAAAAGCTATTTAAATCCAGTACAACTAGAACTGGTAATAAATCTGTTCCTGCTGTCTGGAGTTTCAAATATGAATAGTTCTCAAAAATAAACACAAACCCAAAACTTTCTTTATATTATCGGCAAATAAAGCAGCTGGTCAGTGAAAGCACCGTATGAGGACGCAGCAGGTCGTCATCCTGACCAGTTCATCAGCAGCATGGCTGTTCAAAGTGCTTCACATCATACAAACATCACATAGGCAACAAATAGGAACTAGAAAATTCCTGAAGAAATTTGACCAGGACCTGCCAAAGTGTGCCTGTAGCTCCTCCCAGTAGGAGCAGTGATGAGAGAAACATGGTGTGCTGAACTCTGCAACTGTTCAGTTGCCCTGGCGCATGATTTTACTGCTCTCCCTATGCAATGATTCACAGCTCAATGGCTGCCATGCAAATTAAAGAGTTTTTGAAACATCAAGCAGGATGCACCAAATTATCGCCGTTGATCTCCTTAATCCTGGGAGATTAAGGAGATCGGCTGATATAAAGCTGATCTTATCTACCTCGGCGAAGGCCTAAAAAAGAGCAAATATCTTCTTCTGCTCTGCAGTGACGGCGGTTTGACCGACATCCCACCCACCAGGTCATCTCTGCAGTTATCAATAGTTTCCCCACTGTTGCTGATTCAGCGACTTTCTTGCTATATTTAGCATTGATTCAAACAAAAACAAAAAAAACTGGTGTCAGCCAAACTCAGAGTCAGCATGTCAGGCGTTTTAAAGATCGATGACTGATGAACTGTATCAGTGCAGCTCCAGAACCGAAGGTCTGATTCAGATGAGCGGAAACATTAAACGTGAAGCTCAGAAAGGACCAGCTGAGGGACGCTGGCCCTTTAAAAACAGCTTCGTTTCCTCACCCCGTGTCCAGCTGAGCGATGCACAGCGGCGTGATCCGTCTCCTCCCGTCCGCAGTTCTCGTCTCGACCTGCTTCTTCAAGAGGTTCTGCAACACAGAGAACCATCAGAACCAGAACCTCCCGCCCAGCTGGTACGGTCCGTTCATCCCGACCGAGCGGCCTCACCTTCCGGATGTCCTCCAGAGACTCGCCGTTCATCACGCTGTTGACCTTGGGGGTGGCGGCCTCGGGCCCGGCGGCGGCCGCGCCGGCGTTGTTCTGGGCCGAGTTCTGGCGCTCCTGCTGGTACTTGAGAATCTCTGGGTTCTCGATGATGGTGGTGGAGAGCTGGACCTCGGTGCTGGTGATGGCCAGGCTCTTCCCGTAGATGTTCTGGTGGATGGTGTTCTGACCGGCAGACAGATGGACCGATTCAGAAACACTAAAAGCTTTAAACTCATGTTGGATGTTTGAGCGTTTGGATCTGCTCAAATGATCCAAACGCTGATCTGGTCAGCGTTTGGACGATTTTCTTTAAAATCATTTTATGTGGCAGAAACTCAGCAGTTTTACTGGTTTCTGTGGAGCCACTTGTGCTTTTCACGCCGGATCCACTGGGAATATTAAATGGTTTGCATTTAGCCTGTTGAGCCTCTTTATCTCTGAGCCACAGCAGGAGGAAACCTCTTTCTGTCTGAGCCTTTAACTCTCAGACCTTCTGGGGTTTTTAGACACAGATTCACAATAAAAACCATTTCTCCCAGTAAAGGTTTGGTTCTCTGAATCCACCGCGAATATTCCCTCTTTGAACTAAACATAAAGATCAAAATCCAAAAAAAAAAAAAAAAACTCAAAATGAGATTCAAAGAGGGAATCAAATTAATGTCATGTAGGAAAAAAAACAGGAAGTAATTTCAAAAGTCTCAATTGTACAACAATCATCTCAATCAAAAGTTAAATGAATCAGAAATGATGAATTTGAATATTTTATCTGATGTTTTGTGACAGGCTGCAGCTTCGACGGGTTGCCAGGTTTTACCTTCTCCTCCTCCACCAGAGGGTCGCCCAGCTCGTCCAAGGAAAAGTCCAGGTAGGCCACGGTGCCGTCCATGGAGCAGACCAGCATCCCCAGACCTGTCAGGGTCCTAAAGGTCGACAGAAACGCCTCAGGTCACTTCAGAACCGCGTCTGGCAGCAACACACACCTTCTTAAACCTTTAACACTGCGAAACTCAAACATTTTACAGGTAAGTTTTCAAATTTGGAGAAAAAACAAAACAAATGAACTAAAAAGAATGTAATTCACTATTACATGGTATTACTGTTAATAAAGTCATGTGACTGTGTTTTACTTTCTACAGCAGGGACAAGGAAATGGGAACAATGTGTTACGTGAAATAATCTGCCAACAGAATAACCACTTTTTGATCAATATTAAGGAATTTTAAATAAGTTTTGTCGTGTTTGAAGACATTTGAACTGGGAACTAGACTAAAATGTTTGCAAATATTTTGTGATTTTGCGGTGCAGCAATAATAAATACTCATTATATCCAAATAAATCATGTCTCTGTAAATGTCACAAAGAATTTTCTTGTTTCGTTGTCTGACATTTAGCAAACAGAATTAGTCTTGATCATGATTGACGTTACAGAAAACTTTGGTCTGATTTAATTTCAGTCTTTTTGGATGAAAACATCTGGTTTCAACTGGAAATTATATTTTTCAAATTTAGGCTTTTAATCAAACGTTAAATTGTGCTTTATGACAAAATTATGCATTTTGAACAGGAAGCAGTTCCCAAACCTTGAGAACCCTTCAATGAAATTCAAGGACTTTCAAGGATGATTTTGTCAACTTCTCACCAGGAAATGTCCATGATCGATTTATCGAACAGGTCATGGATGACCACCAGAGGGCGCTTCAGTGAGGTGAGCTGAGGAGAGAAGGGACGTGTTAGGAAACGGGCTGGTTCTGGTTCTGGCTGGTGTGAGCTGCTGAGCGGGACCGACCCAGACGGACAGCGAGCGGTCTTTGCTCCCCACGGCGCAGCAGCAGTACGGACAGCTGGGCTTCGGAGAGCTGCCGTTCTTCTGCTTCTTCTTGAAGATCTTTGGGTTGAATTTCTGCAAAATCAACAGAATTGTATCGGTAAAGCCCGGGCCGGATGGTAAAGCCCGGACCGGATGGTAAAACCCGGGCCGGATGGTAAAAACCCGGACCGGATGGTAAAAACCCAGACCGGATGGTGAAACCCGGGCCGGATGGTGAAACCCGGGCCGGATGGTAAAAACCCGGGCCGGATGGTAAAACCCGGGCCGGATGTGTCGCTGGAGCCTCCTTACCACCACGGTGACGGCTTTACGGTGGCCCACAAAGTCCATGTTGGTCTTCCAGCCGTCCCGCTCCACGATCTGGGCGGTGGGACCCGAGTTGTTCATGGCGTGGGCCGACACCAGGTACTGCCCGTCCGGAGACCAGGACAGGCGCAGGACGTGGGTCGTCCCGCCGCACTGCAACACAAGTTTACAAAAACTTCAGAGAAACAAAGGAGAATAATTATCATAATAAATCAATTGATACATGTATCGCAATAAACACAACAGACAATACATTTGATAAAATATTCAATAGTTAGAATATTAACTGAACCGCGGTTAAACCTCATTCATTGGTTGCCTAGCAACTTCTGCTCAACTCATCAATTCAGCATGGAGCTGATCTGGTCGTTATTGATCAATAATTAGATGGCAGAAGGCAATCAATAGATTTTTTTTACTCACTTTATCACTTCAGCTCCAAAATAAATCATATTTATGTTTTGTCAAGAAAATTGGTTGATAAGTTTTCATAAACTAGAGTTCATAGAGCCGAGTCAACAGATTCACGTCATTTAAAGCTCCAGACAAAAAATAAACAGCTTCTAGTCCTGAATGTCCGGCGGTTTGATCCCGGTGGTTTGATCCCGGGGGTTTGATCCCGGTGGTTTGATCCGGCGGTTTGATCCCGGCGGTTTGATCCCGGGGGTTAGCTTTAGCTTAGCGCTGTTGATGTTGGGTAGCTTTCGTGAGCAGCAGCTGTACCTCGTTGAAGGGTTTGGTGATGTTGGCCTCCATCTGCCAGTCCACCGTCCTCCACACCTTCAGGCTGTGGTCGTCGGCCTGCGAGGCGATGTACTTGCCCACCGGGTCCCAGGTCAAACCTTTCACCAGTCCTGTGTGGCCGCGCAGGCAGGTCACCATCTCTGAGGAAACACAGCCAACATTTATATTGCATCACTGCACAAACCAAAGGCGGATTTGATGCAACATCACTTCAGTCGTGGTTCTGTGTGAAGTTCTGACTGCTGTGTTATTATTATCCTTTTAAAAATTAACATAAAAAAAACTGACAGGATTTTTCATCTTTCAAAAATCAGTCAAAAATTATGCAAAACAAAATGTCTAGCGCGACCTCTGGGTCGGAAACCGTGACCTTTTACAGACCAGGCTGCCCTGGAACTGGAAACCAGTTCATCTACTGCTGAATTTGACCAACTAGCACAACCAAAGGGATTGGAGTCAGATTGGAGTCAGATTGGTTCACAGAAGCGCGGCGATGTTCTGCCATTCACTTGGATTCCTCCTGGTTTATCGGTTCTTCCTCCAGTTTTCAGATGTGAGTTTTCTCCCACCTGGGAACTTGCGAGCGTTCCAGATGACGATGGTGTTGTCGACGCTGCAGGAAGCCAGCCACACGTCGTGAGGCGACCACGCCACGTCCATCACGTCTGCAAACACAGCAGAACACTGAGCAGCAGCAGCAGACGGATCCAACATGGCGGCCGGCGGCGGCGTACCTCCGGTGTGGTTCCTCAGGATGGTCACACACCTCCACTGCTCCACGTTGGCCAGCTTGCTGCTGGAGCCGAACACCGTGCTCGGGCCGATCAGCCTGCGGAGACAAACATGGAGTCTCAGACAGAACAGACCGTTTCTGAGAAACGCGGCGGCGGCGGTTCGTGTTTGACATACGCTGCTCTCTTCCAGACCATCACCAGCTTGTCGTCTCCTCCTGAAGCCAGGTACAGCCCGTTGTTGGACCAGCGCACGCAGTTCACACAGGCTGCAGAGGAGACACACACACACACACACACACACACACACACACACACACACACACACACACACACACACACACACACACACACACACACACACACACACACACACACCAGGTTTAAAATTCTCTAATAACAGAAAAAAAGAGTCACCAGATTTGTCTCTCGTTGCCTTTTCTGACTAAAAGTTGCCAAAGGGTCTGAAATGTTGCTGAGTGCAGCTACAGAGTCGCTCAGTTAGCATCAATGCTTCCCTCTGTTGGTCCACACTTGGCCACGCCCCTCTGAGGCCATTGGCTCCGCCCACTTTTGAATTTTTCAGCATTTGTCAGAGGGCAAGGTGTTAGTTACACATAGTTACACTTTAAATGGCAAACTGATAATTTTGTTAATATGTAAACATCCATTTAGTTTGATGCCTGAAACCTGAACTCACACTGGATCACTGAACTAATCAACATATTGATCAATAGCTTCATGTTCCTGAGATTATCAGAGCAACTGATTGGTGATAAACACAGAGATGATCAGAGTGGATTATTTCTATGGATCATTTCCATTCAGTCCCAGAAACGACCTGCAGCATATGACAGGTCTGATCTGAACATAAACTCTGTTTTATCTGCTTATTTTTCATTGAAGGACTTTGGAACCGTTACAGTTCGGTAAAGAAATCTAAAACACAAACAGAGCGTTGTTCACCTAAGTGATTGTCCATCTGGCAGAGCATTTTGGGAATATTCTCATTCTTCTCATCTTCCTCACTGAGGACAGGCGCCATGTTCCAGATCATCACCTTCCCAGAATCCTCTCCTGCAAAACAAACGTTTAAATCAGTGACTTCCATCAGGAGAGTTTCCATTTTCACCCTGGAAACATCATGAAACAATATTTGCTTTGCAATTTTCATTTGAGCTGATTAAAAATCAGAGACAAAGAGAATCAGCTTGTAATTATTCCATTTCCTGTTAGATTCAAAGCTACCATCTCTATCAATGAACCTGCAGCGCATTTTTATCCAATTACAGTAAATCATTGTTTATTTAATTCACTATTTTTATTTGATAGGGACAGACAAACAATAAAAGAACAGACCCAATCTAATTAGCAGCTCTTGTCCCTCGACTGGCTTTTCTACACAATACGTCTGAAAACTACTGGGAGGCAAAATAGGAATAATAATAAAATGTAAAATAAAAAAACATGATATTAAGAATGTATCCAAAATCATAAATGTAGAACAAAGAAATTAAAAACATGGCAATAAGAAGAAACATTATGCATGGAGTGCTGCGTTTGAGTGTTTGTGGTTTGTTTTTTGAACAAATTTATAGACTTTCACATTTAATTGTTGAAATCAAAAACAAACAGATGAGTTTATGACGACTGTAATTATTAGAAACAACATTTCCACAGGATGGAGCGCAGGACGACGTCTCACCTTGTCCACCTGTTGCAAATTTCGTCCCATCTGGATGAATATCGACTGAAAAAATGGGTTTGCCTGGAATACACAAACACTAACATGTTAACATTAGACTCAAATCGTCTTTAACTCGCAGATAAAACTTGTTGTTGAAGCACAAACACAGGCAGCATCAGAAGAACATCCCAGCATTTTGTCTTAATGGAAATTTCCCAGATATTGTGTGATTTTAAACAGGTTTGTTGGAGAACCGGGTCAAGCTGAAACCGGTTCCTCCAAGCTGCACACGCCCGCTCTGCAATCTAGGACTTTCTTAGAAAGAAAGCTGCTGCTGCTGGACCTTCTTTATCTCAGCACTTTAGTTTGTTTTAATGCAAATTTACTCAGCCTGAAGAACCCAATAGTGTTTCGTTTTCTCTAATAATGCTAATAGAAATGGATAAAAATGGAGCAGAAATTAATGGTTTTATTCATTCATGAGTCAGTATAGGTGCTGGTAATTTTCCAGGATGTCTAATCAAGCTGTAGCTGCAGGACAGAAATGAATCCTGGAATGTGCAGAGCGTTAAAAGTATTTAGGTGACAGACGAGGTGGAAATGAGGAGCAAAGTAAATACAGGTTAGAAGTGGAAACACGATGTTCCTGCAGCTTTTCTAGTCTGTCACATTATTCTGTCTGCAATTATCCAGCATAAATTTGAAAGTTTTACATTTCCATCAGGCTTTTCAGGTGTTTTCAAACCAAAATAGACGTTTGAGTTCATGTACAGCTGCTGAACATCTGGACCAGCATGCAGGATGACCATGGAGTCAGATTCAAGCCAAAACACCTCGGCGTTTCTGACGACACGCTGGCAGAAATACCACATTGTAATGCTGCAGAACTAAAGCAAACCCCAAAGTTTCACTCAGAGAATTGTTAGATCTAAAAAAATAATAACTTAAACTAAAGTTACGACTCATCAAGAGCTTGAATGGTTATGAGATTCTCATGGTTTAATAACTGACAGTAAAAACCTGCAGAATCAAAATTCAAAGTAGACACTGCAGGATGAGATTCAATTTGTGAAAATTATTTAGAAAATAAAACCCAGTGCAGCAACGATGTATTTAAAACCCTGTAATGTCGGGAAGAGACAGAACATGACTCAATTTCAAACTGCAGCACCAACAACACAACCACAGCACCCTTAAATACACTAACGAGACATGCAGTATTTCAACTGATAGTCCATACTTGGTTTAATGTCGTATTAACAGCAAAAACACAAACTGCACATGAATTCAGACATGAAGTTGGAACAACAGCAGCACAACAGTTCAACTGTTTGGAGCGTCAACAGTTACATGGAAAAACAACATGAAGTTTCTGCAGCTGTAATGTGCTGTAAATGTCAGCTCTGAGCTGCAGGGGCTGGATCTGGGTTCTGGGATCGTGTATCTGGTAACATCCCTGCTGAGGCGCTGAGTTCAACCCGACACCTGCAGCCGCAGCTCGGCGTCAGGCCGTTCCCGGCAGCGGTTAACTTTCCCAAGTAACAGCAGCTGGAAGCTTCCTCCAGCCCACCCTGGAAACTGGCAGCACTTTCACAAAATGTCACTCGAAGCGGGAAAGACATTTAACAAAATGCCCAGTTTGACACATTAGCTGAGGACGGAGAAGGTTTTTTGGGTCGTTTGGTGTCGGGGCAGCGAGCTAACCGGGGGGCTAACCAGCTAGCTGCGTTAGCTCATTTAAATCTATTCAGCAGAGAGAAGAGGTCCTAAAATAAAAACTAGGGGCCGTTTTTATCCCATATTTGGGAATGTTTGAGAGCAGGAGAGTGAGTTAATGAGAAACAAGTGAGGACCACCACCAGACCTCCTGAACTAGTTCCCCCCTCCGACAACAAAAGCACAACTTGGTCCAACAGATTCCTGCACAAGCAGCTTACCGTTGTGGCTCACCCAGCTCGGCTTCAGCAGCTTCATCTTCCCTGGGACTCTTTGGTTTCTCTGTTATCGCTATAAAAAACGGGAACAAGCCCCCTGATCGGTGAATTCAGGCGGCGAACTAACGCCAGCCGCCCGGCCTTTGTTTCAAACTCCGTCCGTCACTTCGCTGTTTCTGCGGCTGAACTCCATCTCTGTCCGCGGCGCGGCAAGCAGCATCCCCGGCTATCAGAGCCGAGCAGCGGGCAGGCTGACAGCCAGCGGCGCGCCGGAACATAAACCGGGTGACACCAGCAGGCGCTTCAGGACCGTTTCCGTTACATTTAACCGCGCACAGGAAGGAGCTCGTGCACCTGAAAGACTCTCGATTAAAATTAAAACAAAACTGAAAAGTAATGATTGTAATTAGGCGTTCATCAGCTCTATTTTTAGGATGTTTCTTCTTCTTCGTTGTTTTTATTTAAAAAGTCAAACGAAGCGGTCATCAGGGTGATGAAGGTGAGGCTTTTATTTTGAAATATGAAAAACAGAGCAAGTGCGCAAACGCGGAAATTTAAACTATTTTAAGTACAATGAAGCTTTTAATACTAATTTATTGTTGAACACTGGAATAAATATTATAATTTTGCAATCATATAACGGTATATAAATGTTAAAAGTTAAAATATACACATGTATTTCTGTTTATTGTACGTTATTTGTTATACAATATAATGAAAATATTTATTTAGCTTTAATGCATTTGAATTTAGGAGGAACTTTTTCTGCACTGCAGTCAAGTAGTACGTTTTAATGTCATAAATATATAAGAGATACAAAATATAATCTAAATAAAAGTATCAAACTTTTACCTACTTAATTACTTTTTAAGCTAACTGTTGAGGAAGCAATGAAATGAAATTTAAATAATGTTATCTATTTTTGCCATTATGTTTGAGTTCATTAAGTACTTGTCCTACTTTAAAATTAGCATGTGATTGTTATTCATTTTATTTGGATAATTTCTAGGTTATGGTACAAAATCAACTTAAATATGTAAATTTTAAGTGTTTGCTCATAAAAGTGAAGATTTGAAGTCCTCTGTTGGCTTCTTTTGAAAACTTTTAAATAATGAATAATTTCTGCAACACAAATTACAACAAAAGATAATCACACATTTTATTTTTTCCAAGATTCAACCAGGGTCATTGTGAAGATATGAAACGAGTCATTTTGAGCTTCATGACTTCACAAAACAGAGATTTTTTTGTACCAAAGAAGCAGCGAAAAACAGGACAAAAAAATGAAACTGTGAAGAAACAAAGGCAAATTGTTCCCAGGTCAAATCAGCACAAGGCATCCATCTTTACAACATTAAATCTACAAACCCATAAGAATAAAAATCCGGTACAAACAGACACATGTAGTTGTTATAGTTAACAGATGTCAGCTTTTTGAATAAAAATGTATTTAGTGTAAACAGGAACTCCATGATGCATTCACTTCCCACGGTATTTATAACATCTTCAAAACATTTCAGCAACAAGCCGTTATTCTTTTCCACTGAAACAACATCAAGCCAAGCAAAAACAGGAAGTGTTTTTAGGAAGTCCTGTTCCGCTTCACTTTCTTCAGGATCATCAAAAGAGATTCCAGATTTTTTTAAAAATTACAATTCAGCAGATAATTTGAAAACGCACAAACTTTCTTTTAATTTGCAACTTACGTGATAATGGATTAATATAAAAGTAAAGAAACGGCAACAAATCAGAAAACATTTTTATCAGACAGAGAGAAATCAAACCTCAAGCAGACAAAAAACGCACAAAAGTTTTAAGTCTTATGGACATTTTCTAACTGCAGAGGAGAAAATTGACAGTTATTGTTCTTACTGTGATTTATGTGTGAAATATGGTTAAAATGTCCCTTGAGTTTCAACTGTGGAAGAATAATTCAGAAAGGAAATACATACTGTTGGTGAATTTGAGGTTTATGGACTTTGATGCACAAATTTTACCTAAACTAAAACTACAACCATTAAAATAGCTTAACCAAAATAGTTTCTGAATGTTTAAAAGGCTAAAATCGATCATGACACTAAGCCGAACATTTTGTGGTGAAATCAAATTAAAAAACTCCTAAATGTTCACTGTGAATATTTAAAAACTCTATGACATCCAAATACCAACGCAGTCGGGTAAAACCCAACACCCTCCGACTCGTCTGGACTTTAAATAGTGTTTATAATGTAAACTAATGAATATGTGGAGACTTACAAATCCTTTGTCCTGATCAAGGCTTATGTTTTTACATTTTTTCTGTATGAATTTTCCTAACAATGAGCTTAAATCGGCAAACTGAAAATCGTAACAGAAATGTAGCAAAAAGTAGAATAAAAACTCAGAAAGGGAAAAGTTGTACTTCACGTTTTGTTGGAAAAGTTAAATAAAGATTTTTATCAACTTAACAGCAAAAATCAGCTTTTTTATATATTATCACATTAAACCCTTTTCATGAGTGATAGAATATGGAAAACGCTGTGTGGAAACACACAGACAGAAACTTAAGAAACTCCACTGACATCTTTTTGCCTCAGTGAAGCTTTTGCAGCTTCGCTTCCTTCGTCCCTGTGAGGCCTGCAGGGGGCAGCGAAGAGCAACAGGCGCCTCACAGCTTTCTGAGTGTTGATGTCAGATTATGATGTTTTTCAGGAGTCAACATGTCCAACTTATCACCATCATCACCATCATCATCATCATCTCTGTTGCACCTCACTGATACAGTAATAAAATACAGTTGAGTTTTCACAAAATAGACAAGAATGACTTAAAATATTCACCTGTTTTCTGTCATAAAAGCAACTATAGAAAATGTTTGAGTTAGCTTCATGTTCTTGGAGGATATTTTCTGAATGCCCACTTTAACAGTCTGCTCAGGCTGCCGAGGTTCAGCGCTTTCACGGACCTGAAGTCCCTCTGAAAAGGGCTTCGATCTGCTCCAGCGTCTTGCCTTTGGTTTCCGGGACGAAGATGACGGTGAAGATGATGTTGAGGCCGCACATGCAGGCGAAGAGCCAGAACGTCCCGGCGCTGGTTAGGAGGTACTGGGAGGAGACGCAGAAACAGATTAGAGCTACTGCAGGAGACAAAACTGCAGGCAATCAGTTCGTTCACATCAACATCACTGGGGTATTATTAAAATACATAAATAAACAAACAGAATAAAAAACTGTAAAAAGCATAACTTGTATTTAAATAAATAGTAAAGAAATAAATTAATTAAAAATATGTTAAATGCATTAAAATTAGATCAAAAAGAATAAAAATAATTTAAAAAACTACATGTGTAAAAATAACTGCATAAAAGGTAAAGATATTATAACAGTTTAAAACTATGAAATAGATGAAAATACAACAAAAATATTTAAAAAACATAAAATATTAAAAGTATGAAAATAAATTAAATAAAAACAAAAATAAAAATAACAAAAGCATGAAAAACAGATTGTGAAAAATAATCTATTAAAAGTACATAAAATAAAACAAGAAAAATTTTAAGAATGCAAATACTAAAATATAAATTAAAAAATGCATCGAAAATGAGAGAATCTGATCTGAATCTACCAAACAAAGTTCACTAACTAATAGATGAGGCAGGAAGCCTTGATCTGTCCTGCTAAAGGAAACGGCAGGAAAAGGAGGAACATCTTCCCTGGTTGACCCACCATCATGTCCTGGAAGGTTTTGGTGACGACGAAGGCCATGCCCCAGTTACTGAGAACCACCACCGCTCCAGCAAAGCCCCTCACTCTGATGGGAATGACCTCCGACATGATCAGCCAGGGGATGGGACCCCAGCCGATGGCGAAGCCTGAAAACGACAGGCGTTACCGACGTCCTCCTTTAAATCCTCCTGCTGACGTGAACCTGAACTCACCTGCAATGAAGACGGCCATGCTGGCCAGAGCCAGCCAGGTGAGGTCAGCGGGGGGCGCCGGCGCTCCGCCGGGAACTTTGGGCGTCAAGTAGAAGTAGACGCCAAACGCCGTGGTGCTGATCATCATGGCCACGCCTGGATTCAATCAGAACAAATCAAATTCCTCAACGTTGGCATGTACAGTTAACCTGGACAGGTGAGCATGTTGGAACTTCTTCCTCAGTAGATAGAAGTTCCAGTTTCTTAAACTTGGAACAAGCTCCCAGTTCTTGTGCAAAAGTTACTGGTGAGATATTTGGACTAGAAACAAGAAAACCAGATTTTGTGTTTTTGCAGTTTGGATGAGAGCAAACTAAAGTCGGCTCATCAGACAACACCAACAGGAAATGAATGGAGAGTTTCTAAATTTACACCTAAAACATTTTTTTAAACCTTCCTGAATATAAAAACCTGAAAAACTGAGAATCTTCAGACATGTTTGGTTGGAGACAATAATTTTTTCCCAGGGCGGCATCAGAAAGGGGCGGACGTCCCAGGAAATGGAAAACCCATCTCAACTGTCAGTCGTTTCCTGAACTATGTTCTACTGATTGTTTGCATGTGTAGTGGAGCAAGTATCACTTAATTACTGTTGAGAAAAAACAAACATCACTGTTTGCATTTTAATTGGTTGGTGTGCAGCAGGAGGCGGGACTTATATTTATATTTCAAGCTTACAAACACAGACATAATGATTAATCATAATTGATCACAGCCAGAAAATAGCTGAAAAGTTTGGGAAAAGAAAGGAAGACGAAACAAAAAGTGCATTGATGATTTGATGAAATGAAACCTGAGATGACGAGCAGAACCTTCCTGCCGGCCCGGTCCATGATCACCGCTGCGATCCCAGTGAAGACGACCTGAATCAGAGCGACGATCACCGAAGCCAGTTCGCTCTCCTGAAAAACAGCAACAATCAGGACGGAAAGCGCCGCAGACACAGTTTCCAAAAAGAAATCTACTTCTGTCTGTGAAATAAATGGAAATATTTCCATTAAAATTCAAACAAGTTGAACCGTTTTGAAATTAAAATTCAACTGAGCCCACAGCATCACTCTTTTTACACCAGAAAGTCTCAAGATCAAAACCTCATCAGGTGAAAAGTCAAAGTGTTGCTTGTTTATTATTCAAACTGTCTTTTACTGCTCTGCAGCTGGAAGAAATCCCAGAGGAGATGAAACAGAGACTTCATGGATGCAGATGGAGATTTAAAGAGGCGTAGCAAAAGCAAATGAGGAGGATTAGCAGAGCTTGACCTCCTGAACATGTCGGTGTGGAATATCGTCTCTGCTGCCTGGATGTTGAGCTGTTAGCATCTCACGATGGTCATGAAACTCACAGCAAGAGCCTTCAGTCAGAGGCCTGTTTAGACTCGTTGGTAGACTGACTGCTACTGGAGATCCTTCCTGCCCACAATACAGCTTCCACAACGACTGTTTGAGGCCCGTTGGAAGATACTTTATTTTTTAAATTTCAACCCAAGTGTGTGTGTGTGTGTGTGTGTGTGTGTGTGTGTGTGTGTGTGTGTGTGTGTGTGTGTGTGTGTGTGTTACCTTGAAGTGCGCCTGTACGAATATGTCCTCAGCGTAGAACATGATGGCGTTGATCCCGGTCATCTGCTGAAACACCATCAGCAGGATGCTGATCAGCAGCGGCTTGAAGACGCCGGGATCTTTCAGGTCGGACAGGTGGAACGTTGAACCCTGGAAGAAAACAGAATCCCGACGGACGAATCCTTCACACATTCAGACGGAAAATATCTCAGACCGATCCTGTAAAGGAGTAAAAACAGTTTGTTTTTTGCAATTCCACCTGTTCGTCGCATGCGTCCTCGATGCAGGAGCACTCCCACTCGATGGGGGCGTCCGGCCCGCGCAGGAAGCGCAAGGCCTCCTCGGCCTCCCGCCTCTTCCCCTTCGACAGCAGGAAGCGCGGCGTGTCGGGCATGAAGCACATGGCGACCATCAGCAGCGACGGCGGCAGGGAGCAGCAGATCGCCAGCCAGCGCCAGTCCACAAACAAACCTGCAGGTCGGGTTCAGACACACGGCTGAAACCTGGGAGGCGTCTCAGAAGGACAATAAAACCACTCATTACAAACTTAGCTGGACAATAAACTGTCCCAGAGATTATTACAATAAACGATGACAGCATTGGTTTGGGACGATTTTTAAGTAATGCACCAACAGGTTCTAAAACTTTAAATTCTAATGAACATTTGACACTGGAACAGGAAAACATTGCAAATATCCAAAATAAATAAACCAAACAACAAATAAAACGAACTGTAAATACTGAAAACAAAGTTGTCCATTAAAAAAGTTATTTTTTCTACCTCAGCAAAAGTTATTGTTCCCTGGTATGGTGCAGGTCATCTCAGGTCAGATTAGCTTAGCATACGCTAAACTGAACTCTTTGTTTTACTGTAACTTTATGTTCCCCATCATAGTTTGTTTTACCTTATTTTAATGGCAGCTAATTTTGGATTTGGTCACATGAAATGTAAAATCTTAAAAGAAATCCGGTTTAGGAAATGGATGATGACAAGCTGCTCATTTCCACAATGAAAAGAAACACAGATCCACATTCTGGTTGTTTTCATCATGGTGCAAAAACAAGACAAGAAAACCAACAAGGAAACAAAAGGGCAACTTGTTTTGATCCTAATGAATCACTGGATCTCTTACAGCAAGATTCCTGGTAGGAATCAGGAAATGTAATAATCTGCGATCATCAGATGGACTTAAGATCTAAAGTGAACAAGTGTGACCTTCAGAGGATAAACTTTCAATTTAATGATCATTAACTTTATAACATAATGCAATAGAAAGGATCATTACAACATTCAGCAACAATAAGTGTTCAGAGAGGATAAATACATCCAGCAATAAAAGAAAAATAATGTTCAAAATGAAGCTTCCTAGTAATTAAATGCTGTGACACCAATAATTATATTTTAGTAAATATATTTTAGGTGTTTTCTCTCCAGCTGTCATTGATTGTTGGTGCTCTGAGAAAGTCCAGCTTTGTTCAAACTCCTTCAGAGAAACATTGAAAATTAACTGATTATTATTTATTTGCATTGTTTGTGTTTGGTCAGGAGTGACTGATACCGTCTTACAGTTAATGTAGACAGAAAAATGGAGTAAAAAAAACAAGGACAGTTCTGAGCTGGAGAATTTGCTAGAAAAGAAACAGAAAATTTTCAACTTTTCAAACTCAGAAATTTTCATATTTGATTTTTTAAAATGGAAATTTACCACTTTTTCCTTTCTATCTAAAGTCTCTAATAAACCATCGTAGGAATGTATCTGGCTAAAATAAGCAGCTTTCATGAGGTTGCTGCACAGAAGGGAAACTTTAGTGGGTCTGGTGTAATTTTGCTATGCATGACATCCACAGCGGTTTTGCTGTAATTCAGGATATAAAACTAATGTGGTTATTTTAATCCAGCCTCCTGGAGAGTCTCAGATGAGACAATGAGTCGCTTTCATGAACTCATCCTGACTCTTCCTCCCTTCACATGCTTGAAAGATTTAAGAGAAATTCCACTGAATCCGTTTCACAAAAAAGGTCAAGATACCAAAATGACACTTTTAACCACAGATATGGACAGAAGTCGATTCAATCAATTGTTTTCCAGGTTTTCCAGGTTTTCCAGATCCAAATTCAAACTCATCTTTGTGTGTTGCGTGTCGAGCCCTTAACGGTGTCGTCTCCATAGATACAGACAAGTTTTACATTCATTTTTGATGAACAGCATCAAAAAGAAATTTGGTAAAATCTATGAAAAAATACCAAATGTAGCATAGTTTATGAAAAATAAACCAGGATTTTAGCTCCAGCCATTGAGCCACCAGAGAAACAGAAACACGTTAAAGACGATGAACATGTTGTTCACTTCAACACCTGCTGAAAAACTTCAAACCTGCAGAAAAGTCTGTGTCTAATTTACTAATGAGTGCAAAAAAGAAAAACACTGGATTTTATCCGTCACATTATATTAACTTGTTTATGATGAAGAAGCAGAACCTGTAAAACACAGACATATTCTGAATGTCTCAGAAAAAGTCTAAATTACCACTGAAGCAGATTTTCATATTGTTTCATATTGTTGTGTGAAGCTCAGTATTTGTCTTGACTACCATTTCATTTGGTAAAACATTGAACTGAAATAGTTATCTGGTATGCACTGTTTAACTCTTGCGTCGCACATTTAATGTGACAAAACTAATGAAATTTCTTTATTAAATGTGCAAAGAGCAGAATCCAGATCTTAACCGTATTTACGTCAGACTTCTGGTTGTGAATGAGTGAAAACAAAACCGAAGAGCAGCTCAAACTCTGATTACACTCTAACACGAAACAGAACAAGATCCCTGATCCATCGTTTGATCCTTCTGAGCTTGTGTTTGCTCTGTTAATAATCAACTTTTCTGCACAGCCAGGCCATCACGAGGCAGCCCACCTGACTGGACACTCCAGCTTTTATTTGGAAAACATGAGAGGCGTGCAGCCGCCCAGACCGGTGGCTGCTGCAGCCGCAGAGGATCTGATCTGATCAGAGGATTACCTGCGCTGCGGCGGCTCTCCTCTTCCTCCAAACAGTTCAATCAGAGCCACAAAGAAGCTTCAGATAAGCAGCCAGACCGATTACGCAGGAGGAACTCCCTCATTGATCAGAGGAATCCCTTAATCATTCACAGAAGCCTGGGCTCACTTGTTGCAGCAGGAAGCAGCAGCGACATACCTGCCAGGTAAACTCCCATGATCCCCAAGACCACCATGAGCTGAATGCAGGAGCCCAGCATCCCGCGGACTTTCTCATGCGCCGTCTCAGATATATACAACTGAGGAGGAAGAGGGAAGAAAACCGGCAACTATAGTCACATTCAAAAGTTATTTATGGCTTCATTCTAGTAAAAATTAGATATAATTGTGGTTTTAAACAAACGCTGCATCATAAGGTGAAGCAGCAAACGTAAATCCCAGTAGTTTGTCTGTTAATCTTTATCCGTCTAATTTTAGACCAAGGTTTTCAAAAATAAATATACTAATATATTATATAGTATTATATGTAAATAAATAAACTATCACAGTTTTTTTCTCTCATTAAAGTGAGTTTTTTTTTTTTTTACAATTTTACAACCTTCTTCTGGTGCTACAATTTTTCCTCATAATATTCTAACTTTATTTTGCTGATGACATCATTTTATTGTTGTAATGATTTTATTCTCACAATTAAGCCATTTTAACTGTGAGAATAGTCTGGCCCTCTGTCATGTTGGACCATCCACTGAATCGATTATTTCATTTTTCAGCTGCTGTGTTCCAGATTCGCTCAGTACAGATTCCATTTTCTGGAGGTTAAAAACCGTGAATGTCTGCGGCGTTCTTACCGGGACCACCAGCGACGTGATGCCGCTGGCCAGGCCCGTCAGCACCCGGCCCACGTACAGCATCCACACGTTCTGAGCGGCGATGATGATGGTGAAGCCGAAGACGAAGGGCAGCGTGCAGGACATCAGCGTCAGCTTCCTGCCGATCCTCTGCACCATCCAGCCGCCCAGCAGGCCGCCCACCGCCGCTCCGATCGTCACAATGGACTTCAAAACCAAAACATGAAACCTCAGCGCTCTTCTGGTTAACTCACTTTGAACACAACTTATTAATATTAATAAATACATGTTCAGCTAAACTGTATAATATGTCTTAATCTTGTCTTTGACTGCAGCCAGATTCAGCAAACTGAACTTGGTTATGTTTAGGTTTGCAAAACTTCTGAATGTAAAGACAAACAATTTTGTCTCATCAGAGCCAATATCTGAAAACCATTTTCTTACCAATGAATAAAATTACATCTAATTAAAGCCTCCTGTTCAACTGTTGGCTGTTTTTGCTGTAATAAGTATTTTCCGGCAGCATGTGACGACATAAAGCTGCTGATGCAGCCCAAACTCGTCCCGGCTTCCAGCCATGTGATGTTGCGTCATCGTACCCCAAACCAGGAGGCCTCCACTTCGCTGAGCCGCAGCCGAGGATCGGAAATCCTGCTGAGCTCAGGGATGGCGGGGGAGCTGTATCCCAGCACGAACCCGAAGCTCATCGGACCCAGAACGGCGGCGAACGAGGCCAGGTACAACTTCCTGTTCTTCACTTTGCTGCGGACAGAGAAAAGAGGAAGCAGGTCAAATAAACTGTAAATATCTGCGCAGTTTCACATGTTCATATTTGTTTTATTTTGGAAGAATTTTCAAACTTCGCATAAGAAGCACTTTGTTTCAAGTCTTACCATAGTTTCTGAATTGTGTTTTGGTCTGGACTTTGACTAGGCCACTCTGACATATGAAAATGATTTAAGACAGCGATGTCCAAATGTTTTCTTGAACAATAAACCAAACAAGAAATACAAATGTTTCAGATTTGTATGATTCACTTTAGAACCAAAACTTAAATCTAGTTTTCCACTTTTTCTTTATTGAAAGTAGTTTTTCAAATGCTTTTTGGCTTGATTTGGTGAAAAAGAGGAAAACAATGAGTATCTTTACAGGAATTTGGGGAACTTTTCCTCTAGAAATGCTTGCTGTATTTAGCCAACTTTAATAAATTAAATAAAAACTGATTTAGATGCAACAAAGCCTGCTTTTCAGTGAACGTCACTGGACAGATGTGGTTTTGTTCAGTAGAAAATTAAAGAGAATGCAAAGCAATGACATTAAAGGAGAAATGCTTTGTGCTGCGACCAACATTTTCCATTCTAGGGAGATTTAAATTAGTCAGAATCATCCTTAAAATGTCCAGATGGCTGCTGTCCAGAGTCTGGACACGCCTGGTCCTGTTTCAGGTTATCCTCTTACGCGAACCTCAAACAAGTTTAACTCCAACTCTGACCAACTTCCACGTCCCCACAGCATGATGCTGCCACTACCAGAAACGATCCAGACCAGAGTGTCCATCATTCCGATCAACCCTGGCCATCGCCATCCATTAATCTCACGTTTTCTAATTAAGGATTCAAATAAATCCAAAAAGGAAGCTCACCACATGTAAAAGCATAACCCCGCCCCCTGACATATAACCAATCAGAGCCAGGAGGAGGGCCTCAGCGCTGTCAATCACTCCTATGCTCACGTCCCTGCACCCCTACTCTCTGCTGGTTCACCACAACATAGCCTGCCATGAATGCTAAGGTTAGTTAGCATAGCTAGTTAGCATGACCATATACGAGCAGAGTGAGTAGTATTGATTGACAGCGCAGAAAAATGTCTAAATTTGGCATAAATAAAGTATTAAAATGAATAAAATCAACACAAAGTCCTCAGATTGTTGGAAGGACGTTTGTGTTCTTGGTTTCTGGATAAAGTTGGAACATTTTCAATGCTTAAGTGCCAAATGCTTCACAGCTGACACACACAGTCCGAGGCTGACACTGTGCACATCTGTGTTCAACTTTTTGATTGAAATTTCTAATAAATAAAGTAAAATTAAAGATGAAAATAAGTTGAGTGGGTTCACCAGAGCCAGAAACAATGGCTGAGTGACCAGAATCAGATCAGATAGCAGGGAGCAAGATGGAGGAAAACAAGATTTATAAATGGAGAAAAAACTTTATATGTTATAAGGTTGTTATATTATATTAATAAACTATGTTGCCTTGGAGTGGAGGTAGGAAGCTGCAGCAGCCAATACAGTGTCTTTGTTGGCGTGGATGTGAGTGTAAATAGGAAACTTTTTAACCAGTTGATCATTCTAAATGTTCTGCATTTTACAATCTTATATCCCTGTAAACAGAAAACCTTTGACTTTTGATTTGATTATCAGATAAAACAAGGAAGTCCATCTCCTCATTTTGGACTTTGGAAACATGTTATTTAACCTCTACCATAACTACTGTTGAATGAAACAGAGAGCAGACATGGTTTGAGCTGAATGCAGCAGAATAATCTGCACTCTAGGTGGTTATTTCAGGTAAATTGTTTTAAAGCATCTGAAACATCCAGGTAAGGGTCCACCAAAGATGAGAGCTTTGGTGGAAAGTCTCGAAAACTTTGGAAGTTTCCTAGACTTTGTAAGTCCAGAAACCCGGTTTGAAAGGGTCAGATCGTCCTCTGACCTCTGGCTGCATACTGTGGTGATCAGGCTGACCTGAGATAAGCCTCCTGCTCGGATAGGAGTCCGGTCGGACCGTCATCTCCGTCCTCCTCCTGCAGCAGTCTCCGTCTCTCGGTCTGGATGTCCATGCTGACGGCAGCGATCCTCCCCGGGGTTTACCTTCTGCTCCCGGTCGCCCTCAGCATGAATCCACCGGCCGGTAAAGGCTGCAGCGGGCAGACAATGGCAGCAGCTTCAATAAACCAACTAAAGAGAGAAATGAGAGATTATATCTGAGCGCCCAGCGGTTTCACCTGCACGATGAGAGGATCCGGTAGATCTCAGCTTCCTCCGCCCGCTGACAACTTGCTTTATTGACATCACAGTCAGCTGATCATCTCTTTACGCGACTTTTAAAATAAAAGTCTCAAACACAACCTATCACATATTAGTACATTTTATGACTTGGTTTTAGTTGAGTTTCAATGCACACTTTTTAAAACATTTACCGGTGGGTTTTATATTATTAGCAGGATGTGTTATAAACCAGCTTATATCTCAGTAGTTACATATTTAGCTAGCAACATGATGCTAGCAGTGAAACAGAACAAAATAAGAATTAGAAATCAACAACTGCTCACTCTTACACGGCTAGTATTTTTATTTAAAGTTTTACCACATTATGTTAAAGTTTTACCACATTATGTTACATAACACAGGACTTTCAGCAGCGAAATGATTTAATTCGACGATTTACTTCGACACTTCCGGCGATTTAAAAACGTCACCGGAAGACAGAAGGACTGAGCTCTCGCTTTGTTAAGAAAATAAAAGCCCTGGTGGTGTTTTGCGTTGGTTTCCATGGAAACATTGAGAGTCAATGTTAAAGTGTAGAAACAGAAGCGGAAGGAAACGAGGCAGATGCTGCAGCAGCTGAGCAGCTCATGCCAACAACATGGACGATGACCAAACAGTGAGTCAATTATTAACAAACAACGTCAATAAAGACAAAACAGAGTTTTCAGGGTTAGATAACTGCTTAGTTTCGTAACTCAATCCCAATAATGAAATTGATTGAAGCCTAAGCTTTAATCAATGAGTTTTTTTTTTTTTTTTTTGGTTTCTTTCATTTTTGTTTTTAATTTCAATCTAGGATGTTTTTGTTCAGTCATTTTTCATTTGGTTGCTTTGACTTTTGTGCATTTACCTTTAATTTTAATCAATTTTATTATAAAACTAAATTAAATGTCAAAACTATTTTATTTTTTCTATCCTAATTTTATTTATTTCAAATGAAAAGAGATTTTATGATAATATTTTAGTAGATCTGTTTTATTCTTGTCTAACCTTCACCTGGTCAGAAGGTGAAACAAAAACGTATCTGATAAAGTATTGTGAGAATGTTTGATTCTTGTCTTTATTGTTTCCAACCTCTGCTGTCCATCAGTATGACGATGGAGAAAGTGTGTTTCCCCCCGAGGTGAAGCTGGAAAGGGCCAGGAGAAGAAGCACCTATGTGGACTTCAGTGATCGGCTTGTGGCAGTCAGAGATTATCGCTTTCTCAAACCAAAACTGAATCCGGACAAAATCATTAAGGGCAAAGCTGCAGAGCAGTGAGGACAAAATCAATTACTAACACACTCTGCAGAAGAAAACAATTCACCGCCAGAGAGCATCTACCACAGAATTTTCTGAAATTGATTCCTGAAAGATACAATTAAACCTGTGGATGATTCATAGCAATAATATGTGCAACATTTGATTCTTGGAGGCAATAATTAAAGCTTTTCATTTCAGTTTTAGAAGAGGAAAATGGGCGATGGAGAGGTTCCAGTATGAGGAGGCTGTGCTGTGCTTCACCAAAGCCATCTACCTGCAGCCTAAACAGGTGAAAACTCACTAACAATATTTGCTTTTGATTTGGGAAACAGACTTTTGATATGTTTGAACTCTTCTGCCGCAGATTGAGCTGTATGTGAGCCTGGGCGATGCTTTCATTCAGCTGTGTGACTTCCAGTCTGCAGCCGACTCTTACAATCAGGCCAGTTTTCTGGAGCCGGGAGCTTTCAACGCTCGACTGGCCTTCATCTACTACATGCAGGTGAAACATTTCTCTTTAGGGAAATAAAGAAGTGTTGTATTTTATTTGTTCTGCTGATCTTCTTGCATTTCCAAACTGAGGAAACAATTTTACTATTTTACTGTGAATAAAACTGATGGTTTCTGACAGCTGGCGTCTTAAACGGATCAGCCCAGTTAAGTCCAGTTCTGTTCTGACCCGAAGTCCTGCTGGTTCTGCTCATTTTGTCCTTTGTTTGGGTCGGGGTCAATACAAAAACACAGATCCAATCTGAACTGGACTCTTCCTTATAAAAAGACCTTTAACAGTGAATTAAGTGTTTGGCACAACTTCACAAAAAAGCTCCCTTATAAATAGCTAATAGTTATAAATATGGTTTCAATTCATTTACAAACCATTTATATCTCATTAATAACTGTTTATTACAAGATTTGAGTAGCGTTTGTCTCTTTCTCACCCTTAATTAATGCATAATAAATAGTCCTGTCATGATAAAAAAAATACTGGATAATAAATTATCCCACAGGTTATTGGGACACATAATAATATTGTTATTTTGAAACCATTTTCCAGTCATATAATGGTAATGATGTCATAATAATGCAGAATCTCATTCTCAAAGATCAAAAAGTTTGAATTCTAATGAACATTTAACACTGGAACTGGACAAAAACAATAAACAAAATAACAAATAAAATGAATTATAAAGTAAACAAAATGATCCTTCAAAAAAGGACCAGTTGAGACCAAACTGAAGAATTTATCATCCAGTTTTTGGTAAAAAGAGAAACGATAAATCATGCAAATGGAAATTATTGAGTTAGTTTTAATTGCTTATTGTGACAGGCTGAATAATAAACACTGTATTACAAAAATATCACATTTTAAAGTCACTTATAGGCTTAAAATAAGATGCTAATGAGTAATGTTCTGACTGAAGTCCTGGTCCTGGTTCTGGTTCTGTTGTGTTCTGACTGAAGTCCTGGTTCTGGTTCTGGTTCTGTTGTGTTCTGACTGAAGTCCTGGTTCTGGTTCTGTTGTGTTCTGTTGTGTTGTGTTCTGACTGAAGTCCTGGTTCTGGTTCTGTTGTGTTCTGTTGTGTTGTGTTGTGTTCTGACTGAAGTCCTGGTTCTGGTTCTGGTTCTGTCCAGGCTCAGTGTCTGTTCGACCGCGGCCTCTTCCAGGAGGCGCTGGACGTGTTCGGGAAAGCTGCCGAGCTGAAGCCGGAGGCCGCCTACGCCTTCAGAATCAGAAGGTCCGTAGAATCTCCTCCCGGTTCTGGTTCTCACAGAACCAAGCAAATAACAGCAAATCAACAAAAAGAGAATCTAAAAATAAAAAACATGATTTCATGTTAGAAACTTATTTTGTTTTTATAACCATTAATATTTTTACTGTATTTTAATCAACAAGATTTTGAGACAAAATGTTTGTTTTATTGTTTTGTTTCTGTTTCTGGTTTATTAGGATTAAATTGATTTAAAGTGACAGATGAACATAGATTCACATGAACCTTTTGTTCTGCAAAACATTAAATCTCACCAAGTATTTTGCTTCATTTTCTAGTTTAAATATATTGAGATAAGACAAAACTAATTTACAAGTAACTTTTCAGTAAGAAACAATAGCTTAAGTCAATTAATATTTGTGATAATTTCTAGATTATTTAATTTAAAACATGGGAAAAAGTTTTGTTAAAAGGGAAATGGGACTCGTACCTTTTGATCGGTATCAATTAATTATTGACTAAAACATTCCTATATCTTACTTTAAGTTTGTTTTGTCTTATTTCAAGTGCCTGAAAATATTTGCAATATTCGATAGTCGGGTTTTTGCTGTTAGTCGTTTGTACAGTTTGCTTTTCCTCCACATCTTTTCCAGGCTTCCAAAACTCTGAGAAACTTAAAGCTCATTTTATTTTCCACTCCAGAATCAGATTAATTGTGGTTTTTACCCTTCAGGTCAGTTTTCTGTGTTTGAGTCTCGGTTCTCGTTGCAGCCTGGCCTGCCTGGCAGCCGCAGGGCGACACAGCGACTGTCTGAAGGAACTGGACCTCATCATCGCAGAGGGTCCGACTGCCGAGCTTCACGTCTTCAGAGCCAGAGTTTACAAGACCATGAACCAGGTGAGACCAGAACCAGAACCAGGTGAGACCAGAGCCAGGTGAGACAGGAACCAGGTGAGACCGGAACCAGAGCCAGGTGAGACCAGAGCCAGGTGAGACTGGAACCAGAACCAGGTGAGACCGGAACCAGAGCCAGGTGAGACCGGAACCAGGTGGGACCAGCACTGTAAAAACACTAAGTCCTACCAAATATTTCTGATCTGGGTTCTACTGCAAATATCTTGGTACAATTTAAATAAGATGTAACTAACTTGTTACTAACAAGTCATTTTTTTAGTAAGATATAGCAGCTTGTTTTATTTGTTTAATATTGATGAAAAAGTTCTAGTTCTGCTATCATTTCACTTCACTGACAGAAAAACATGTTTCCATGTGATTCACTTAAAACAAACTGAAAAGTTTGATCTTATTTCCAGTGTGTTAATAACACGATTGTTGTGTTCAAGTTGTGACAAAATACTTGGTAAGATTTTGTATTTTTACAGTGTAGGTCTCACTTGGTTACACTGTAAAAAGTTTTACCAAGTAGTTTTGATCTAGTTTCTAGGGTAAATGTCTTAGTACACTTGGAATAAGAAAACTAACTTTTAGTGATTTTTCATCAAGATACAGAAAATGAAATGTTTATGTGCAACATTTGTGCAGCCAAACTGCAGCGTTTAGTCAGAGCTGCTCTGGTCATCTGAAACACGTCCATCATTCACTCACTGCATGCAGTTCACCTGCATCGCCTGAAGCAGTGCTTCTGCATTTCAACCCGCAACCTTCTGACTTCCAGGTAACCAACCAGAAACCTGTTTTTTTCTGGTATGTTTGCAATAATTCCCCCCTTTTCAGTCATTTTTGGCCAGAAGCTGAGCCCAGCACGGTTCCCTACTTCCTGCTCAGCGTTTGGTTTTCCTGACGCTCAGTTCAGGTGTGATGAAGCCGGTTCAACAGGACAGTCAGGATCTATAATTAGCAAATGAAACCAAATCATTAGTCAGAGGAATCTGGAGGCCAGCTTTCATTTCTCCAACGCTTTGGGTGGCTTTACTTCACAGACAGAAACATAAAACCTGTTGAACATGTCAGAGATCAGGCAAAGTCACACACTGGCATTTATACGACAACTGGGAATCAGAGTTTAAATAATCACATGACTTCATTAAGTCCACATTTATAACATATTTAATTGCTATTTTTACATGCATACGTTCCGGTATGTTTCTGGTACAACCGTAAATCCGACGCACAAGCGGCTTCCGCTAGCATCTGCTAACAGCTGTGCTAATGGCGATGGAAAGCCGTTTTTCTCGGCCCTCTGGGCTGAATTACTGCTTTAAAGCGATGTGGAAAACACTATTGTTGTTTTCAAGTTGTGCTAAAAGCAGTTAGCCTGTCAGCGAAGCTAAAATAGCATCTGAGTGCTAAACGTGCTGCAGACGTTACCGTCAGTGTCCAACTCCACATTTCCAGAAGCTCCTGAAATGCTGGAAATGTGATTGATAGAGGAACATTTTGCTCCGATCTGATGGTTGAATAACATAAATAACAGGTTAAAAATAATACATGCATTTGTTTTTGAGCTGAAGTGTTTATTTATTCAATAAGTAAGTAGTAAATGGAGTTTATGTGAAATTTATACATAAAATTAGATTCATTACTTACAGACTCTGCATTTAATTTGATTTAAAAAGTTGTTTTTTAATTCAATGATGTGAATATTTTCAGCCCTAACTGCAGGACTCTGCCTCTCCTCAGACAACCCGTTGCATCCAAGACGTGCGGTCAGCGCTGAAGTTGGACCCGGGCTGCCGGGAGGCCAGAGCGATGCAGCAGCACCTGATGGAGGCCTGCGAGGAGAACAGGCAGCAGGCGGTGATCCGGATGCTGTCAGGCCAGCTGCAGGAGGCGCTCTGCCTGATCAACGCCGCCCTGGAGAGCAACCCGGAGAATGGACAGCTCTACCTGTTCAGGTGGGATCATCTGCAGCCAGAAGGTTTCTATTGGTGCATCGTCTCCCCGGTCCGGTTTGTTTTAATCCAACTCCAGTCCGGTTCGCTTTAATCCAACTCCAGTCCGGTTTGTTTTAATCCAACTCCAGTCCGGTTCTCTTTAATCCAACTCCAGTCCGGTTCTCTTTAATCCAACTCCAGTCCGGTTCGCTTTAATCCAACTCCAGTCCGGTTCGCTTTAATCCAACTCCAGTCCGGTTCGCTTTAATCCAACTCCAGTCCGGTTCTCTTTAATCCAACTCCAGTCCGGTTCTCTTTAATCCAACTCCAGTCCGGTTCGCTTTAATCCAACTCCAGTCCGGTTCGCTTTAATCCAACTCCAGTCCGGTTCGTTTTAATCCAACTCCAGTCCGGTTTGTTTTAATCCAACTCCAGTCCGGTTCGCTTTAATCCAACTCCAGTCCGGTTCGTTTAATCCAACTCCAGTCCGGTTCGCTTTAATCCAACTCCAGTCCGGTTCTCTTTAATCCAACTCCAGTCCGGTTCGCTTTAATCCAACTCCAGTCCGGTTCGTTTAATCCAACTCCAGTCCGGTTCGCTTTAATCCAACTCCAGTCCGGTTCTCTTTAATCCAACTCCAGTCCGGTTCGCTTTAATCCAACTCCAGTCCGGTTCGTTTAATCCAACTCCAGTCCGGTTCGCTTTAATCCAACTCCAGTCCGGTTCTCTTTAATCCAACTCCAGTCCGTTCGCTTTAATCCAACTCCAGTCCGGTTCGCTTTAATCCAACTCCAGTCCGGTTCGCTTTAATCCAACTCCAGTCCGGTTCTCTTTAATCCAACTCCAGTCCGGTTTGTTTTAATCCAACTCCAGTCCGGTTCTCTTTAATCCAACTCCAGTCCGGTTCGCTTTAATCCAACTCCAGTCCGGTTCGCTTTAATCCAACTCCAGTCCGGTTTGTTTTAATCCAACTCCAGTCCGGTTCTCTTTAATCCAACTCCAGTCCGGTTCTCTTTAATCCAACTCCAGTCCAGTTTGTTTAATCCAACTCCAGTCCGGTTCTCTTTAATCCAACTCCAGTCCAGTTCTCTTTAATCCAACTCCAGTCCGGTTTGTTTTAATCCAACTCCAGTCCGGTTCTCTTTAATCCAACTCCAGTCCGGTTCTCTTTAATCCAACTCCAGTCCAGTTTGTTTTAATCCAACTCCAGTCCGGTTCTCTTTAATCCAACTCCAGTCCGGTTCTCTTTAATCCAACTCCAGTCCGGTTTGTTTTAATCCAACTCCAGTCCGGTACGCTTTAATCCAACTCCAGTCCGGTTCGCTTTAATCCAACTCCAGTCCGGTTCGTTTAATCCAACTCCAGTCCGGTTCGCTTTAATCCAACTCCAGTCCGGTTCTCTTTAATCCAACTCCAGTCCGGTTTGTTTTAATCCAACTCCAGTCCGGTTCTCTTTAATCCAACTCCAGTCCGGTTTGTTTTAATCCAACTCCAGTCCGGTTCTCTTTAATCCAACTCCAGTCTGGTTTGTTTTAATCCAACTCCAGTCCGGTTCTCTTTAATCCAACTCCAGTCCGGTTCTCTTTAATCCAACTCCAGTCCGGTTTGTTTCAATCCAACTCCAGTCCGGTTTGCTTTAATCCAACTCCAGTCCGGTTTGTTTTAATCCAACTCCAGTCCGGTTCGCTTTAATCCAACTCCAGTCCGGTTCGCTTTAATCCAACTCCAGTCCGGTTTGTTTTAATCCAACTCCAGTCCGGTTCTCTTTAATCCAACTCCAGTCTGGTTTGTTTTAATCCAACTCCAGTCCGGTTTGTTTTAATCCAACTCCAGTCCGGTTCTCTTTAATCCAACTCCAGTCCGGTTCTCTTTAATCCAACTCCAGTCCGGTTGTTTCAATCCAACTCCAGTCCGGTTCTCTTTAATCCAACTCCAGTCCGGTTCGCTTTAATCCAACTCCAGTCCGGTTCGCTTTAATCCAACTCCAGTCCGGTTTGTTTTAATCCAACTCCAGTCCGGTTCGCTTTAATCCAACTCCAGTCTGGTTTGTTTTAATCCAACTCCAGTCCGGTTCTCTTTAATCCAACTCCAGTCCGGTGCAGTTAAACCAAAACAGGTTTCGGTGAGACTGTTACAATAAGCAAACCCAAGATTTGTATAATTTATTGTTTTTGTGTTTTTTCCTCTTTTTTCATCCAAACCCTGGATGACTAAAGTCTTCAGTCTGCTAGGATTTTTAAGGATGATTTTGTTTACAGAAATGTTTTATCTTATTTGTTGTTTTGTTTATTTATTGTTGATTTTTAAAATGTCTTCCACGTTCAGTAATAAATGTTCATTAGAATTTAAAGTTTATTGATTTCTCAGAATAAGTCAATACCATTACAAATCAACAGTGTTAACATCTTGGATAATTTATCCTGCAGAAAAATTTGCTACAACCTTGTCTTGGTTTGGATCAGGTTGAAGTGAACTCTGGTTCAGTCTGAATGCAGGAAATGGGTCAGTGTCTTCAGAGGACTTTGTGTTTCCTTCATGTGAAAACATCCGAGTTCTGGTTTGAAGCAGCTTGTCTCCCTCCAGAGGGATTCTGTACCGACGTCTGAAGGAGTTCATCTCGGCCATCGAGGATCTGGTCCTGGCTGCTGAGCTCTGCGAGCCGAAGGAGGAGGAGAGAAAGGAGAGCAGCCCTGAACTGAAGGAGGTGCAGCTGCAGCTGGCTCTCACCTACAACGACTTCGCCGTCCAGTGCTTCAGCAGAGGCCTCTACGACGAGGCGCTCCTGCTTCTCAACAAGGCCATCAAGGAGGACAAGAACCTGGGCGGCCTGTACCTGAACCGAGGAGGTGAGCTGTCCAATCATCCTGAAGCAGGAATCTCTTCTGATACCTAAACCATCTTTTGCACTTGATTTTATTCTTTTACTGCCTGTTCTTAATGCCACAACTTCACCAAGTTAACAGGAAGCTGACCCACAGACAGGAAATGACATCTTCATGCTTCTGTTCTCCAGACTGAAATCTGAAGGACTTAAAACATTCAATTCAGCTCAAATTATTTATATTTTATTTAACAAATTAGTTTTTAAAGTTTCCTATCGCAGTAAACTCAGCAGGTTTCTTTGAGTCTCTGACTTTCACTGGATTCCCTTCAGCAGGATCAGACAGTTTGAGTTAAATGTTCCCACTGAGCCCTGAAGCTGCCAGAGCTGCTACCTGTGCAGGTAGAGCCGGCGCAGCAGGAAGTCATGTGACCCGGAGGAAAACCGGATCAGAGGAACCGGATCAGCTCTGACCCGGTTCCTCTGACCCGGTTCCTCTGATCCGGTTCCTCTGACCCGGTTCTTCTGATCCGGTTCCTCTGATCCGGTTCCTCTGCTCTCACTGCAACCAGCAGAGTTACACTTATAATAAATCAATTATTAAAATTGTTAAAATGATTTTTCTTTGTGTATTTATTGCATAACTGAGACATTTAGTGTAACTCTGTATTTGTTGCATTGTTTCACTAACAACAACAATAATATTTTTTTAGTGTAGTAGTGAAACTATTGTTTTAGTTATCAATTCATAGATCAATCACTCTGATCAGTTAACCCGATAAACAATGAGCTTCTTCTAATCAATTTGTGTTTTTAAGAAAGAAAATAAACATTTTATTGCCTAAAATGTAAGTTATGAATATTTGATCATCTGTAGCAAAAAATATTTCAATCAATGAGATTTTATTTTTTATTAGAGAATTTGAACTGATTGAAGTTTGTTTTTGTCCTAAATGCCAACGATGTGAATGTGGTTCTGCTGGTCTCTGTTGGGTTCTGTTGGGTTCTGCTGTTCTGTTGGGGTTCTGTTGGTTCTGTTGGGTTCTGCTGGGTTCTGCTGGTCTCTGTTGGGTTCTGCTGGGTTCTGCTGGGCTCTGCTGGGTTCTGCTGGTTCTGCTGGGTTCTGCTGGGTTCTGTTGGGTTCTGCTGGGTTCTGCTGGGTTCTGTTGGGTTCTGCTGGTTCTGCTGGGTTCTGCTGGGTTCTGCTGGGCTCTGTTGGGTTCTGCTGGGTTCTGCTGGGCTCTGCTGGGTTCTGCTGGGTTTCTGTGACCCGGTCTGTGTTCTGGTCAGACTGTTTCTTCAGGCAGGCCGACTGGTGTTACGCTCTGCTGGACTACCAGCAGGCCGAGGAGATGCTGAGTCCCAACGAACCGGCGCTGAGGCTCCGCCTGGCCATCATTCACAGCACTCTGGGCTCCTTCTGCTTCCAGGACTGGTCAGAACCAGAACACCAGAACTCCCACAAGAACTCCCTCACAGGTTCAGTGACTGTGTGCTTGTGTCTGCAGGTACTTCCAGGACGCAGCCGACATGTTTTCCTTGGCCATCACGTACAACCCGACCACCAGTCAGTACTATGAGTACCGGTCGAAGGCGCTGCGCCGGATCCAGGACCTGAGGGGCGCCAGAGAGGACCTGATCCGCCTGCTGATCCTGGACCCCGACAACGAGGAGGTCCTCAGCCGATCTTCACATTTCACTCAGGAAACCTGATGACGGTGTGTCTGTGTGTGCAGATCCCCCCGATGATGATGAACCTGTTCCCCGGCAGCACCGTGACCCAGGTTCTGTCCAGCACCAAGGGGCAGTCGCTCCGAGACGAGCTGGAGGAAACCATCCGGGTCTGGGACTCTTCTTCTGATCCAGAGAAGAGGTTAGGTTACGAGATCAGTTGACGATTATCAAGAATGGATTAGTGGTTTCAGCCTCAGAGACGGGTCTGTCTGTTCGGTTTGTTTTTAGCCTGGAAGAGAGTCTGACCGGCCTGAGTTTGAGCAGTGAGGACCCAGAGGGCGAAGCGTTGAGCCTGTCTGAAGCTGCTCAGGAGCTCCGCCTGTGTGTGAGCAGGAAGGACCTGCAGAACGCAGCCAAGGCCCTCCTGCAGGTACAACACATGTTCGCTACATTTCTGGCACAAAATCATTCTGAGATAATGACATCTTAGTGAGGTCAGTTTTAAAAATGTAAATCTAAACTGGCTGCTGGTGGCCACACCCCTCACCTTAATGTTTACACTCCAATGTGAAAATGGCTGCAAACAGATGTGCAATTACACAACTGCACATGTTTGAAAAGCAGAAGTGGAACCTCCTGCACAACCAATAAGAATGCAGCGGTGGTTTCTGGATGGTAAGTCAACAACAAAACACTTTTCCTTTCCAGCAGCCATTGTAGACACAGCAGTAAAACCAGCTGACCAAATGTGCTGGAGTTCCACTTGAGTTGCTCGGTGACAGCGCAGTGCTCACTGTAACCCAACAATAGGAACGTTTTTATTAAACGGCTCATTTTCCAGACACCAAAAACCTGATGTTACTGCCACAAAACGGCTCGGTATTTTTAAAGTGTTTTTAGAAGCAGCTCAGACTGAAGGACAAAAATATTCAAAATGTGAATTTTTCATGACTGGTTTCCTTTGCCGCTGCTGAGCGCCATGCTGTGTGTCTAGGTGGACGAGGCCGTGGAGTCCTTCATCCCCGTCTGTCCGGTCCTGCGCCAGAGCAGCAATAGCGCCTCACAGTGTCCACCAACAGCAAGCGCATCTACTCTTCCACTGCCAGAAAATCTGAGCTGCCTGGGGTTTGAAAAATAACACCAGCGTTCATGTCCACTCCTAATCTGTTGTTAGATTCTCTGTTTTTACGTTTCTACTTCCTTAAGATCATCCAGTAATAACCCAATAAAACTACTGTAGTGTTTCCATTTTAGAGATATATTAATCCAGCCACAAAGCCAAAAACACAAAAGTCAAATAATGTAGTGAAAGAAACCAACAGCATTTCTGAGTCCAGCTGTAATGCAGCGTTTAGTCCAGCAGGTGGCAGCAGAGCCACAGTGTGAGTCAGTCAGCTGTAATTTTATTGTTTTATTGTTTTATTTAACTTGGAGATTGAATTTAAAACTGTTCTGCTCAACATGGTTGTATAAAAACACACTATGAAATAAAAAGATATTCAACAATATTAAAATAATAATTAGACTGTTGAGAAAAATTCTCCAAAAGCCTTAAAATAAAATAAATAAAGCAGGTTCTTTGCTTCTAATGTGAATAAATTTATGACCTGTGATGAAAATCCTAGTATAATTATTATTTTAAATAAATTAACAGTTGCTATTTATTGACACACCTTTATTGTAAATGAAGAGTAAAATTGTATTTTAGCTTAAAATGATCAAATATTTCAAATCTGTCATTTATGACTGTTTTTAACTGGACTGTTAATATGAAACAAAAGCTGATTTTTCTGTCACTTTTTAAAATAGGAAAGACAAGAGAACATGTAGGTAAAGTGAAAAGCTGAGTAATAATTTAAAAGTTTGAAACCAGGAAGGATGAGGAGCTTTTTGTATTTATCTTCTTGTCCTTTGATAAATATGGTGGAAATAAAAAAATCTCTTCATCTTTGTTCTTTTCTTGAAGATAAAATCCCCAGCAGTGGTTTCATCCCTGCTGGGGATTCAGTTTCAGCAGCGCAGACATGTTGTGACTGCAGCTGCGTGAGGCGGCTGACCTGCAGCATTAACAACAGCTGTGGCAACAGCTGACCCACACACACACACACACACACACACACACACACACACACACACACACACACACAGACCCGGTCGGAGCAGGAGCTGCGGCACACCGGCTACCACGGCGCAGTAAAAGCACAAACATGCCACACATACCAGAGAGCGTCGCCGTTCTGAGCTCTGAAGACGTTCAGGCTGAACATGTGAGGAAGATCTGGACTCCAGGAAGCAGCTGGAACTTTGCTGGCATTAAAGCTGCAAGACGCAACTTTTATAAAACATTTTGTTCTTACATATCTGCTTAAATTGTCAAGACAGTTTGGTATAAGACAACCTGTGTAAAAAGCTGCTCTACTTTCTCCTAGAAACTACCAATCAGAGCCAGCCGGCGGGACTTAGTGCTGTCACTCAGGCCATTGTAAAGGCTAGTTAGGATGACTAACTGTTTGTCTGATGGCAGATAAAAAGATTTCCTATAATTGGAAGTCATTGCTATGACTTTCGCACATTTAGTAGCGTGTTCATGAGGATGATTGGCAGCGCTAAAACCCGCCTCCTGGCTCTGATTGGTTGTTTTTGGTGCATTTCTTCACAGCAGTAGCAGCTCAGGATTGATCTTTTAACAGATTATTTGCCTCATAAACTCACAATAAATATGGAAAAACATATTTTTCACAAAGTAACAACCATGAATTCATCAGAACATTTATCAGTTTCATTCTTTACCTTTTCTTTCTGGAATACTTACTGGACCTGGTTAACTGCAGGATTGGTTTTGGTCGTTAAACTTCCTGCAGTCGTTCACAAACGTTTTTTTCTCCCTGAGATTTAAAAGATGAAAAACAACAGAAAGACGTTTTAAACCCAGAGAAAAACTAAGTTGACAGAACTAATGATTTATAAAATTCAACATAAAAGGTCAAAAGCTCTAATGATGAAATTGTTCTGTGTCAGTGAACGCATCACATCCCCAGCCCTCCACGCCACAACAGGAAGCAGCTGCAGCCTTGCAGAAGGTGTCCAGTCCTCCCAGTTTGGTCCCAGTGTGGGCAGAAAGCGGCCCTGAAGGAGCTGCTTTTCACACCGAGCGGGGCAATAAAAGGCTCGCCTTACCGTCCTGTCAGGGCCCAGACACAAACAGCTCTCTGAGGGCGCGGAGCCGGCGGTTTGGCCCCCACTCAACGCATTCCCTGACGGGGAGGCGGGGGGCGCTCTCGCCGCGGACGCAGACGGTTTGGTCTGTTTGTAGACTTTGGGTCGGGTTCGGTACAGGTGACGTGCGGCGCGCTCAGCTCCCACTGAACCCGGTCTGTTCCTGTTCAATTAGATTAGAGGTTCTGGACCGAAGTATGTGGCGTCGGAGAATTTCTCAGAGAAACAGAGACGTTAAAAGCTGCTGCACTTCAATAAAATATCACATTTATTTTAAAAAAATACACAAACATCAGAACAAAGTGAAATAAATACCTCATCACGGAGAATCGGGGCCAAAATCAGAAAATAAAGTGATATTACGAGAATAGATTCATAATATTGCAAGGATGAAGTCGTCGTATAAAGAGAATAAATTTGCAGTCCTATGACAAAACTACAAGCAAAAAGACACAAGAATGCATTTAAATGAGCATTAAGAGAATATTTTGTGATTTTTCCTCAGCGTGGCCCTGATGCCGTCGAACAGCAGAGACAGAGGACAGCAGGAGTCCACCTGCTCCTCCAGAAGACATTAAGACGCCAGAGACAGACTGATGTCCTCGTGACGTCTCTGGCACCTGCAGGACGGATGAAACGCCTAGCTGTGCTTTACAGTCTAATAATTCTCAGAAGCCGCGTGTTTCTTTCCTAGGAGCGATGGAAAGGGAAGGAAGAGGCGAGCAGACCGCCGTTTTCCCCAGAGGAACATCTCTAAACACAATTTATCCATTTTGGAGAGATAAACCATCTGCTGGTCTGATCATCTCATAAATCGCGCTGTCAGTTTTACAGGCTCGTCTCGGCTGTCTGTCTGTGTCGCGTGTCCCGGGTTCTGATCTGACGTCTAATTCACCTCAGAGTTTTACATCGGGTCACGTTTGTTTGTTTATCATCTGGCTTCCAGTCGCTGGCGGATTCCTCACATGGCTGCTTAAACAGAAAACCAGCCAGGTCGCAGTTTCTGGGTAGGAAGGAAAATCCACATGCGGGTCGGTTTCCTGAGTCCTGACAGCCGCTTGGTGCCGGTCCAGCGCCGCCGGCCCGTCCGGCTGACCACCGCTCACTTCCAGCCGTTCAGCTCCTTCAGCTTGCTGACGCTCGTCCCTTTGACCGGCGGGGAGGGCGGGGGGGCGCAGACCGGCAGGGTGGGGGTGCCGGACCCTCGGGGCCACAGCTTCTCCGTGGGGAGTCGCCACACCGACCGAGACGACTTCTTCTTCTGTGGTTTGTTTGTCTTTTCTTTGGAAGAACCCGGCGACATTGTCTGGAGAGCAAACAGAGCAAAGATAAAGAAACAGAAACCAGAGAGCTTTACTAAAATATTCACAGCCACATTCAAATGTTTCACCCTCAAGCTGAATGTTTCCCTGTTGATGCCAGGAGCGGCCATTTTGAAACATGAAGTTTGATTTCATTAGATTTTCTACAGACTACAAATGAAAAGCATCATTAGCCGTTAGCACTTAGCATTATGTTCCGCTCATACTTTGTTCCCACCAGTCGGTACCAGAAGTGATCCGCGCCATCTTGGTAGGCAACGCAGCACAAAGCAAAGATGAGCCACGGCTTCCAGACCAGCGGACAGAAAGTATGTATCAAAATATAAAAACACATAAATTAACAAAATGGCTGCTGTTGAAATCGACTTGTATGACTTGTGGTTGCAGAATTTTCCTTTTGCAATGTGTTTTTTGTGCGTTTCTTGTGTTTTTTTTAGTTAGCATCTTTTGTGTGTGCTGCTGATTTTTCTGTGTTTTTGCAACCTGCCAACATGTGACCAGCTTCCTGGGTGTGAATACTTGTGCGTATGTCTCTGAATGTGACGTACGCAGCAGCAGAGCGTCAGGCAGGTGATCTTTGCAGCGTTTTCTCCCGTCCCGCCGTAGCGGTTCTTTTTGGGCAGCAGCAGCACGAAGGACACGGCCAGAGACAGATGGTAGAAGCTGTGGACGTAGGCGTAGTCCCACTCCTGCAGGCCAAAACAAGACAGCCGGACTCTGTAATTAAAACCCAAACAATCGACTCGCAGATGAGCGGCAGACATTTATCTTCTGGGCTGGGCTTTGTTTTCACAATGAGGCACCTCAAAGTAGAAGCGCAGCATCAGAGCGAGGGCGCCGAAGCAGCAGCCTGGACCGACCTGCTGCGTGTAAACGCTCTTCTCTGGGTAGACGGCCCTCAGCTGCTTCATCTTCTGCAGCTGGAACAGCAGCACAACATCAACCAGATAATAACAAACCTGGCCGACTGGAAGCAGCACTATCAAAATAAAAGCTTCTTAAAATGCAGACCATGGAGGGAAAGTCGGAAAGAAAGAACTCAGAGCATCAGGAGAGATTCACAGTCAGAAATTAATACAATTATTTGAGTTATTTAGAGAAAAAGCAGAAGTTAACTTTTCAAAACATCTTGTAATTATAATATTATTCATTTATAAATGTTGCAGTTTCAACTAATTATCTGGTTTACCAAATAAATATTTATTTATTTGGGAGCTAAATATCGAGCCATGGTGGCCACGCCCCTATAATGCCACGCCCCTATAAGGCCACGCCCTCTTTAAGACCACGCCCACTGCACAATGGGCGTGGCCATAGATGCAGGCTTTTGGTCTGTATCTTCCATAAACATGGAAGCCAGTTTATTCGGCTTCAATGAATAAACTGGAAACAGTTTATTTGAAATTAAATGTTTCAATGTTTAGTTTTGAACTAAATATTGAATTTGGAGCTAAATATTTAATTAGTTAACTAAATATTTAACCTGCTGGTTAGATATTTATTTTATTAGTTATAATGTTTTTAATATATTCAAACAAAATATTCTCTGAATATTTAGCGTGAAACTGACATTTATAAATACATAAATAACATGGTGAAAATTGTTTTCCTCTAAATAACCCAAATTATTTCTGTTACCATTTAGCTGTTATCTTTACAAATGGCGTCTCGCTCACCCATTTGATGGTGATGATGAAGACGGCTGATCCGATTGGTCCGGAGTAGATCCCGTAGCCCCAGCGGTCCTGGTAGATCCTCACGGCGATGGTCAGCACTCCAAACATCGATATGGTGGAGCGTTGCGGCTCGTCAAAGTCTCCCAGGGCTGAGAGACGAACAGATCAGGTCTTTACTGGACGCTGCACCCAGTCTGGACGCTGCACCCAGTCTGGACGCTGCACCCAGTCTGGACGCTACACCCAGTCTGGACGCTGCACCCAGTCTGGACACTACACCCAGTCTGGACGCTGCACCCAGTCTGGACACTACACCCCAGTCTGGACGCTGCACCCAGTCTGGACGCTACACCCAGTCTGGACGCTGCACCCAGTCTGGACGCTACACCCAGTCTGGACGCTACACCCAGTCTGGACGCTGCACCCAGTCTGGACGCTACACCCAGTCTGGACGCTGCCCCCAGTCTGGACACTACACCAGTCTGGACGCTGCACCCAGTCTGGACACTACACCCAGTCTGGACGCTACACCCAGTCTGGACGCTGCACCCCAGTCTGGACACTACACCCAGTCTGGACGCTACACCCGGTCTGGACACTGCACCCAGTCTGGACGCTGCACCCAGTCTGGACGCTACACCCAGTCTGGACGCTACACCCAGTCTGGACACTGCACCCAGTCACACCAGTTTGGTCAATGTTCAGGTACAATCAGGTCAAATTAAGAGCAAATCGAAATAAACACGGCAGAAATACAAAATATTAGTAGTATTTTTGCTCTAGTTTCTAGTCAAATATTTTTGTACACTTAAATATTCAAAAGTAAGTTTATAAGTAACTATTCAGCAAGAAATAAGAGTTTATTTTAAATCAGTAATATTTGTGAAAAGTTCTTGTTCCACTGGGAGATTATTTCATTTATGTGGGAAACATCTTGTAACAAGTGAAATAATCAGCCGGTGGAATAAATATTGTTTTAAATCAATATTAAGGAATTATTGACACAAAACAAACTCCTCCATCTAAAATTTACTTTCATCTCATTTACAGTGTACTAAGATATTCGCACTAGAAATTAAACCAAAAAGTACTTTGTAACATTTTGTGTTTTTGCAGTGATGCAATCAGAAACAGAGATCTAATGTCATTTAAATCAGATTCATTCTGATTGGAGCCCCATCCAGCACAATGTTGCACATTTTAAAGATATTTTTAGGGACATGTTTGATACAAGCGAAAGACATTCGAGCCAATCAGAGGACTCAGATGTTTGAGTCCTCTGATTGGCTCAGTCAGACGCAGGCAGAGCAAACGTTTGCTTCAGTTTGCAACATTTGCAACATTTGTTGCAGTGAAGATGCAACAAATGTTGCAGCAACTGCAGCAGCAGGCCAGGACATTTTGAACCTGTGAGTGAGGCGCTGTCCGTCGTTACCTACGAGCGTGACCCACATGGAGAGCGCCGTGCCGTAAACGCTGAAGAACTCCAGGATGTCGTATCTCATGAAGCAGAGGATGGAGAGGCCTGGACCGTTGCAGGCATGATAAATCTGCAGCAACAGAGTCACAGTTACCCTTCACAATAAAGTTACCGCAACATGAGATTTTTATACAGTCTAATAATCAGCTGATTCATTGCAAAAATTAAGTCATTTTTTTACATTAAACCTTATAAATAAAGAATATTAAAATGATTGTCAATGAGAAATTAACAACTATAATGAACAAAACAGCTCAAATACACAATAATAGGAATTTTAAAATTAAATTAGCTCTTTATCTGATTAACATTACATTAATGATAACTTTTATATTTCATTATGATTTTAGATTTTTATTTTTTCATTTTTGTTGTTTGACTACTTTGTTGATTTTCTTTCAGTAACATTTTAAAATATTTTATCTGCTAATTTAATAATAACCATTATCTGATTTTTAATAAGTCATTTAATTAGTAAGTATTTGGTTAATACATAAGTACTTAAAGTAACATTATTTAAATTTATGTATTTTCTCAACCAATCAAATCAAATTTAACATCATAAAAATACAAAATTAAAAAGCCCTAAAAACATCATAGTCACCAAGAGAGAAACTAGTGAACATTATTAGTTAGCAGCTCATCTGAATCATCCAACACATCAAACATCAACGTCCCAATAATCCAGAACAGCAATAAACAGGTGAGGTTTAAAGGAACTCAGAGTTCCAGCTGTTTTGCAGTTTTCTGGAAGTTTGTTCCAGATTATGGAAACAAATGTTTTGTCACCAGCTGATCAAGTTTTTCCTGCTTATGTTTCGCTGTAATGCATGAAAGCAGACGGTGGGATCGTCCTTCCCGCTGCAGGTCAGTGAAGCGGTTTTGGATTCTCACCGCGGTGAAGAACATGGTGAAGAAGTAGACCATGGCCTCGGTGTGGAAGCCCCTCTTGGCGGCCACGCTGGCGGCCGGCAGGAACACCAGGCTGCTGGCGGTGGGGAGCAGCATCTTGGCGATGAAGGCGCCCATGGCTGGATCAGACTGAGGCGGTTTCACAGGAGAGCGTTTCTGATCTGCTCCTCTCCTCTCTGTCGGTCGGTCGGCGGACAGCTGTCCTCTGAGGCCATTTAAAGTTTAAACGTCCCTGATGACGGGGCCATGTGGGCCGCTGGGGCCGTGCTGCTGGTGACCAGCTGTCTGCATACCAGCGCCTGCCTGAGGCAGGGCCAGGACCAACATGGCCGCCTGTTTCTGTGAGCGGCTGCAGGTCGACGTGAAGCTTCTGTTCCATGTTGGATTCTTCTCTTCCAACTGCTCCTGACTTTATCATTTCACTTTCTGGGGATAATTTCTTCCACGTTGAGACCAACGTCAGCTGCGTTTCCATTTACCATAAAATAGCACAAACTGAAGTTATGAAAATAAACTTAACAGAAACATTCAAATAACAAAAAAAGCCTCAATAGAGAATAGAAACAAAGCAGCTGAAATGAAACAAATGTTTAAGTTTTGGTCCCAATAGAACCGAGTCCAGTGAAAACACTGCGGCATTAACAGGAGTATGGAGTCATTCGTCCTCCCTGTGGACGTGTGACTCCAGCAAACTGCCTGAATTCAAACCACGTCATTTATAAAGAGCCGTTTCTGCTGACACCACAGCAAAACCCAGAAACTGTCGCAGAACAGAAACTGTCTCAAAACAGATTCATAATATGTTCAGAAAACGATGGGCATGAATAGATGGATGATTTCTTCTTCTGCTCTGTGCTCATGTAGGAGGCGTGGAGGCCGTGAGCGACTGGGACCAGTTTATGGAGCCTCACTGGTGTGTCAAATTAATTACCACTGAGCAGGAATAAGTTTGGTGATGTTTCACTTTCTCTGAAGCCATTCTGAGACTTTTCAGGACATTTAAGAGGATTTTTAGCCATGAAACCTTTTCCAATGAGCCTCCGCCTTCTTGGATTAGCAGGAGAAACTGTAATTTGCTGAATTTAAAAACCGTTTCTCTGCAGTCGAACCTTCAGTGCCATTCTCCAGCACAGCTTTGAGGCCAGTCTGATGATTTGTGTGGATGGGAGAGGAGAGGAAGAAATGCAGAGTGAGTCCAGCTTTCTGCTGCTTGGAGGGAATCCGTAGTTTTTATTTGTCACTTCCTGTCGGGGAGAAGATTTTATAGCCGGCTTCACTCTGCGGTTGCTCGTCACGAGGCTGTATGTCTTCATTACGGGGTTTATAAGTGTTGAGCTGAAATCCTGCCGAGTTACGCCCATTTAAGTGCAGACATCAGCTGGGAGCACTGGTGAAATGCTGCGCTGCTGCAGCTGGAGAGGAAAAACCTGTCGCACAAACATGGTGAAAGGTTTACGTTTTGGTAGATTTTTTTTCTTTTGTCTCGTTTTGATCTGTTTTACAATTTGCTTTTGATTCAGATGAACAAAAACTTGATTCAGAAAAAAGAAAAACATCCCTGTTCATCTCAGTCATTATCAGGATAAAATAACTAGACAGATCAATAATGGATAAACTGATCAAATATTGACTTTTAAATGAGTGAAAGTAGCGCCACAGGGAGATGAAGTTCAAAATGTTTCCCAGAGTTTTAGGATCAAAGCTGCTGTTAGACCAGAAAAAACCTTCAGCTTCTGCGCCAATGCGTTTAGCGGTCTAGCATTTTTGTTCACTTTGAACTTGGCTTCTGCTAAATGTTTTGTTTTCAGAATAAATTGCTAATTTACTTGGATTTTTGTTAAACTTTCAGTTGAACAAAGTTCTGATTGTTTGCTAATAGCAGAGCTAAACAAACAACTTTTTATTTGTTCAGTTTAGAGCTGCATGTAACACTGATTTTAGATGCACTCTTATAAGTGTTACTTCTAAAATAAACAAGTTTCCACCATTGTTTCCTGCTGTTGATGCAAAGAGCAGCCATCTTGAAACGTAAAGTGGCGTTCCAGTTGATTTTTACGACTGGGAAGTTGGAATTTCCGAGTTCCACCTACAAATAGGATGCACCACTAGTGTGTTAGCAACAGCTTCTGTAAATTACCATGGCGGTATAGCACTTAGCATTAGCAGAAAAAATATCTGTTATGACTGAATCAGGTTTTACTGCTCAGTAAAAATCAAATGGAGAAAATTGAGACTTTATGTTCTGCACATTTATCAAATATTTTCCAATAACCATGTCAAATTAAACGCAACTTCTGGATTCGGGGTTTTATATTAAAAAAGGCAGAAAATCTGAGCATCTTCCCACCAGCTAATAAAAGCTAACATGAAGCTGTAAGGCTACTGAAACAGCTGAACCATCAACCATCACATACTGGACATCAACTTTTAACCTGACTGGACCAAAACCAGTTCAGTCCTGTGATGGTCACACTGTGTGAATGTAAACAAACCTCATGTGACACATCAGGCTAATCATCAGGCTAATCATCAGGCTAATCATCAGGCTAATCTGTGTTTGCCTCCCAGAACCTTATTTGACTCTGAAGGATGTCTGAAGACGGCGTGGCAGCAGTTGGCTCTGCTGCTCCCCTCTCAGCTGTTGCACCTGCTCAAAGGCTCGAGGCAGCAGCACAAAGGGTGCAGTATGACAGAGGACTCCCACCACATGCCTCTGATTCCCAGGGAGTTTCACCAAGCAGAGCAGGCAGAGGACCGGGGAGGCTAAACCACACCATCTGCCGGGAATCAACTGCAAATACGACGCAAACAAATCTGTTGGCAAAAATAAAATCTTCCCTTCTAAGGCAGCAGGATGATCTCAGCCTGAAATCCAACCTTCAGTGGAGGAAAATAAAATGTTTTAGTCGTTTTTTGATTTGTTCCTGTTTGTTGGATGAAAGCTCAATCTTAAAACTCAGAGGTTCGGTAAAGTTGATCAAACTCCTCGCGTTGTGCAGGACAGAAAACACTTTTTTTGGTTGTAAGCGGCGTGTGATGGGAACCGCCTCGGTGCAGTTCTTCATATTTATACCCCACGGAAACAGAAAGTCATGGATTAGACGTTCCCAGGAACTCTGAACTAAATGAAACAAAACATTCCTTTTAGTTTTATGTTTTCAATTAACTCCTGTATTTTGGTATTTTTAGTCGGTTTTATTTATTCTACTTTTCCCTGGATCCTCCTCCAGCTGCTCATTTTCCCCGTCTTATATCCCTGTGTTTGGATTTTCAATAAATATTCACATTCACATGATTCTGCCTCCACATCGCCTGTGTTTGGTGCTGCAAAATGTGACAAAATATCCTTGAGTTTTCATTTATGTATTAGGAATTAATAAGATGTATTACATCTTCTTCGCCTGATATTTTTCCAGCTGAATAAAATAAAAGGCCGACTTTTTCCCAATTATTATTGTAATATCAGAACAATAAAAAAGGTTACTGACATATTTATCAGAGGTGGTAAATCTGAGTCCTTTGTGTTTCAAACATTCATCAGGAGACTTCAGAGTCAACATTCACAGTTCCTGAGCACAAAGGGTCACAAAGGGTCACCAGGTCACATCAACACTGAACAATAAATGCAACTTATGCTCCAGTGCATCTTCTATGTTTTTCCTTCTCATGTCACATTTTTTAACTAACGGTTTGTTGTAAACGTAGAAATCCCATCAATCTGCATGGAATTCAATGCTACAACTTTTATTTTGAAGGACACTACTTTCCTAATGTCATCAGAGCCTTTATGTGGCTCAGCAAACGTGCTAATAGCCCTTCAAGAAGGTTTGTGCACTTATATATGTCAGCTAATGTCAAAGAGGAAAAAGTGATGCAGAATGCAAAGTTTATAAGAATAATTGCCGTCTCTGACAAATCAAACCGTTCCTTCAGAGTTTCATGCTGCGGACGCTGCTCAATGATTTTTAAGAAATGACACGTAGAAGTCATTTAGACCAATAATTCATCTTTAACACCCACATTATTTTTCTTTTAACTGAGTTTTATCTAACATACAATAACTGAGCAAAGCCAGTTTTCGTCCTCTGAATATTTCTCACTGCGGTTCCGTTTATGACACTTTTAATTGCTCTTTGTCTGGAGACTCTAACCCTAATGACTCCCAACACTTTGCATCCTGCTAATGGGCACGCTCCAAAACACCCACACACACACACCCACACACACACACACACACACACACACACACACACCACACACACACACACACACACACACACACACACACACACACACACACACACACACACACACCACACACACACACACACACACACACACACACACACCACCCACACACACACACACACCCACACACACACACACCACACACACACACACACACACACACACACACACACACACACACACACACACACACACACACCCAAACACACCCACACACCCGTGGGAGTGTTGCTTACATTCACTCAGCAGCCGTTATTAAAGTCTCACATCAAGGTGGGATCGTATTGCTCTGGTCTGGCGTGAACTGCCTCCATCAGCAGGAGCTAACGCTACAGAACTGGACCTCCGCAGCACACATCAGGTCCAACAGTGGTGCTTGAATGTTGCCTGTTTTCTATTATGGTTATTATTCAAGCTGTTTGGCTGCAGAGAAGATGCTAAACATGTTTTCTTTTTATTTTATTTTGCCCACTTGCAATGTCAGCCAAACTTCATCTTATAAAACTCCTAGAGGGTTTTTGTGGGCAGGAAAGTGTCCATAAAAGCTGTCCGTCCACATGTCCCTCCGTCCATTCGTCAACTTATAACTGTTTTCTAAATAACTGAATCTGAACCAACGATGGCCTGTAACGTTGGATGAATAAACCTGCTGTATTCTAACTGGTTAATGAGGTGGAAGAAGCGAACAGATGATTGAGAGGACGGTACTGACAGGAGGTAAGTTCACAGTAAGACCATGAAACATGGAATGACACAGAAGAAGTTCAGCACAGTGAAAAGACAGCTGTAGCAACAGAGGAGCGACTGAGTGAGGTGGAGAGGAAGAGGGAGCGGCGAGAAATAACAGCGGAGGGAAAGATACAGGAGACGAGCTGAAATCATAATAAAACATGAAGGACTGAGACGGACAGGGGAAAAAAGGACAGGAAGACAGCCGAGAAAGACACGGTGGTCCTCAGACGTCTCTGCTTCATTCACCTGGATCTTCTGGGCTCACCTGGCGGTTCCTCGTGTCCCGAAAGGAGTCATTTATAGGAGACCAGTTCAGATGAACAGAAAAGAAACAAACAGGAAATCAAAGGAAAGAAACAGGCACAGATAGAAGCATTTAGGTTCACAAAGAGGCCCTGAACCTGAATCAGGGGAAGAAGCAGGTTAATTGTCTTGCCCAAGGGCACAACGACTGAGACGGACAGATTGGGAGAAACCAGCAGTTAAAAGCCAAACTCCCAGTTCATTCTGAGCCATTATGAAGGAACTGATGCACTTCTGACTCCAAGAGGGTTTAAATGATCCAAATCACCGTACAGCTCAGACCATCTCCACAAAGCACACAGTGACCAGACTGAGCTGGTATTGTTAGTAAGTCTCTTTCCACTTACTAACAATATCATCAGTCCTGGTCAGCATCAAACCAAACACAGCCAGGGAAAGTCCTGCTTTCCTTTCGGTCAACAAAAACTCCTTTTCAACAACATCCTCAAATTCCTCCCTTTCCGGAGCTTTTGTTTCTGCGACTGAAGAAGCTGCAGGCCTTCTGGCTGCCTGGTTCCTGTCTGCTTAAGGTCAAGCCCTAAAGCCAAAGTGCAACTTGATGGTTTCATCACTGGCAACCAGCAGTGGGTCTTCTGGTTGCTGTCAATGTGGTACCAAAGACGTCCTGGCCCATTCACACTTTGTGTTTGCAGCTAACCTCAGAACATGAGGGATGTTGTCCCAGAGGTTTGGACCATATAATTGCTTTCTTAAAATACAAAGAAACCTAATGTGGTCAGAAAAAAGAACTAAAACTGAGCAACATGGAGCTAAACTCCATACCCTACTTTAGGCTCTGCAAGGTACCAATCAACCAGATATCTATGCAGCTAATCAATGTCTGCTTTGGTAGATGTTTGCAGTGACACTGAAGATGAAGAAAGACTCTTACAATCCAAGGAAGGAGGAGCAGAGGAAGAAGTGATGTATGACGGAGTCTCAGTCCGTCAGAGACGACGGTGCTGATCGAGTGATTGTTCTCCTGGATCATCCTTCATCCAAAACCAAACAGCTGACATGAGACCATGTGGTTGCAAGACATCTCCCAAGCAACACTTAAATAGTAACTGTAGAAAAGTTTGAACCAAAACTTTCTGGTTGTTATGGAGTAAATCAGTGTCAGGTAGACAGTATGATTCAGAGATGTAGTCAAAGTACCTTAAGGACACAAGTAAGAAGATGTGAAGTTGAGACAAATGAACCGATTACTAAAGAAAAACCAGTCAGAAAGCAGAGCAGCCAGCCAGACTCCTCTGGTCCTCCCACCTCTTCCTCCTCCTCTGTCTCGGCTGGAGGAGGAGGAAGAGGAAGAGGGATGCAGGGAAAGCACACCTTACCTCCCTCCCTTTCTTCATCCCTCTTTCTATCCCTCCTCACTCCACATTGACAGCAGCTCTCATCACAACTCAACACTGCTGTCGCCGGCAGGCTGAAGCACTTTCAGGCACACACACACGTTGAATCCCACTCACTGACGCTGAGTGGCATCTTCAGCACACACCAAGACGCCCTTGGACTGCTGCAGGCGAGGTGAGTAAATATTTGGGAACTCCTCTGAGTGAGTTGCTGCTGTGCAGTTTGTGTGATTTCTGTGTTGGCTCTTTGGACGCCTGCATGTGCTGTTGTGGTTTCCTTTCTGCTCTGCGTGTGCGTGTGTATTTTTTGTGTTTATGAGGCACAGTAGAGCCAATGGGAATTGTTTTGCACCAGACCAAAACACATCCACAAAATAATGCTGACTCGCTCTCAGAGGAGTGTGTGTTCCTGTGCAGGCATGCGTGCATGTGTATTCCTGGAGAGGCCCGAAGTCTGACTGGAAACTTGTCAGCTGTTGGGAGATGTGAGTGTAAACTGGTGAGGTAGAGGCTCAGTGTGGGTCCAACACGGCTCGTCTGGGGAGCTAAAGGGAGAGAAATCCTACCCTGAACTTTTTCAACCCAGCGTTTTCTGCTGGATGCAGAAAATGTTCAAAAAATACTCATGCTGTTCAGAGAAAAACATGTTTCTGGTCATCGTTGAACTCCGTTAACGCTAAGGATGTTTTCACTGTCCGTCAGAATTAGAGGCCAAAATGGCAGCATTTGGTTAATTTTCACCTGCAGCGGTTTGCTTTCACACTGCACTGTCAAACAACCCGAGCAGCTTGAGTTCATCTCGTCGTATGGAGGGGCACTACACCAAGAATCTCTGAGGAAACGACACGAAAACCTCTGAAGAAGTCAACGACCGCAACTTCCTTCCTCACAAAACCCAACCTAAAATGGAGCGGCATTATACTTTAACAACTGAGCCATTTCTCCCACTGCAGCTGGACATGCTAGTCTGTCTTAGGTGTGTTTACCCAGCATGCCCTGCTCTGTAGTCCACTTCCTGCTTTTGGAGTGGTTCTGGTCCACTTGGCATTCACATCTGCATTCAAACCTCAGCAGAGATTAAACCAAACCCAGATTGAACCAGAGTTCACTTCTTTGGTCCACATCAGAGTTCGATTACGCATTCAAACCTTTCTATGCAAACAAACCGGATTTCCAATCAGAGAATTAGATAAACTTACCGCAGTTAGTTAACATCTGTTGACTCCTGAGCTCATATTGTCCAGTCTGTAGCGAGGTAGTGTAAGTGAAGAAAGAAGTGAGAATTCACGGCACAATAGAAACAGATTTGAGCTCTGCACTCGTTACAATGCGCTTCGATGTGTGACGCAGTTTAATCCAGACCATCTGATGAGCTCTTCAGCTATTATTGTAAATTAAAGCCATTCATCATGAAAGGAAGTCAAGTCAACACGGATCGGAGCAACAACATCTAAACCGACTCTTTTGTTCCTGATCCAAGCAGTAAAGGTTTTGTGGAGAGAAGCAAACATTTCTGAGTACAGCGTTTAATCTGCATCTTAATCCCAGTAAATGTGTGCGATCTATTATAATTTTATTAGATCAATGACCCTGCCTTCTCAAGTCTCTGCATTAAAACCCTGCAGCACTTCTTTTCAAATCCAGCAGCTTTGAAGAGCTTCACCAAGAGGCTTCGTCCCTCTGGCTCCTTCCTCCCATCTCCCATCCCATCCCTGCCTCAGTCATCATTCCTGTGAGAGGAGACCGCGGAATGAGTCCGATTCTCCACAACCAGACACCCACAACCAGCCTCTCGCCTCCCAGCGTCTGACCGATGCTGGGGTTTGTCTAATTAGCAACGTGTCATTCGGCTTTTCGTCGCTAAGAAATGATCAGAATGCAGCGGTCGCCTTTCCAACGCGCAGTGGCAGATTCCTGTAGCTTTCTCGGTTCCTGGATTGGGTATCGCCAAAGGTAATGCTTACCTCAACCTTTGGTTGGCCAATTGGGAATCCTGACTTTAAGAACCAGCAACTGTGTGAGCCTGGTTGATACTCGCTGTGGATGTTGCCCAAAACACAGCTGAAGAGAGTGAAACGAGCCAGAAAGATTCAAGCAGCAGCCGGGATAAGATGTCCACAATGGCTCTGGTTCTTCCTTTACTGCGTTTCGTTTGATCATTTTCTTTACAATGACTCAACGTCAAGAATGATCTGAATTCATCTGAGATCAGGATGTGTGAACGGCAGGTTTTCTGACCACTGCCTTTGTCTTTATGACCTGCATCTGAATTTACTGAACTACTAAAGCCTCTTTGATACAAATCATTAAAAGTACTTTATGTCCTTTTCAGACGGCAGTGGTTCAGGTTGGCAGAGCAAGTTGGTTCTAGACCTGTAGGTTCCCGCTGTGAACCCGTGTCCTTCTTCCCCCAAGACAACAGAAAGGTGTTTGGCCTTAAGAACATCTGACGGAAAATCTTTGCCAAGTCTGTGCGCTCGCAGCTGTAGAGTAGAAGAACTTTTTGTTGGGATTCTCAGATTTTTCTTCCATAGGAATTTTTTTTAAGTCATCATAAAAACTGTTCACCCAATTTCACCACCATTAGTGTGTGAATGAGTGTGAGGACGATGCTGATGTCACCACAGAGACAATGATATCTTTTGCTGATGTGGAGTTTGTCTTTTGACTCATAGCAACATGATTTCTCAGGTTGTTTAGTCCACTCTAATCCAAATCTAGTTTGCCTAGACAGCCTGGTTCATTTGGTGGAAGGTGAGAATAGGTCATCAAACTCTGGTCTGCCTGAAAACCTCAGGCTCAGTTTGGTTGTAGTGAACTCTGGTGAGGCTCGAATGCATATGTGAACGCCAAGTGGACAGGGGACCACTCCATATCTAGGAAGTGGGCTACATTGCAGGGCATTCTGGGTAAAAACAACCAAAACACTTGATTCTATTGCTAGTGGGAGAAATGTCTTGTGGTCTTCAGCCAAAGACAAATGAGAAATTCTCCAACTGCTAAAATCTGATGCCACTCCAGTTTAGTTGAAATTTTGTAAAAAAATCAAAGTTGCGCTCAGTGTCTTTTTGTGTTGTGCAGTGGTTCTTGGTACAGCGCCCCCACAGGTGAGGAGGGGAACAGGTTGTTCAAAGGGTTTGGTTCACTTGAGAAGCTGAAAATGTCAGAAATATTGCAGCTTTGGGTCCCGGTTGAACCGAGTCGACCATCAGCAGGCGTCAGTTGAAGTTGTTGGAGCATCTCATTTGTTGAAGGTTTTAAGAGGAGGCAGAGACTTTCAGGCAGAGCCAGAAGACGAGCTGGAGAATGTCTCTTGACTCATAGCAACATGAGTCAGTCAGGCCTGAGTTAGTCATCCTTTTTACTGTGGAAAGGGATGACTGGGTTTCCCTCCTGCTACCTCTCTGAACTAATCTCAGGAAAGTAAATAGAAGGATGGAAAACAGAGAGAAAAACTCCTGGTGATTGTTCACTCAGACTTCTCTTCTTTCAAATGCCTGTTGGCCGTCTGTGCATCATTGTGACTTTCAGGACTTGTCTGCATGTTGGAGCAATAAAAGATGTGGATGTAAAAAACCTCAGAAACAGAAAACCTATTTAAAGATGGGAAATCTTGAATCAGAACATTAATCCTGGATTAATAAAACGTTCAAAGCTTTATGTTCCACCCCAGTTAAATACGTTCTCTTTGTGATTCATTCATTCATAATAAACCTTAAACTGTTGCATTGTTTCAAGTCTTCCAATAAAACATCTTCACTTGAAAGACGATATTTGTATAACAGGTGTCGGGCAGCGTGATCGGCTCCAGCCCGGCGTCCTGAGGGACAGACCTCTGCTGTCCGTCTGTCTCCTAAGGTTTCCACGACTACAAAAACAAGACGGAGAGGCGAGGGGCCCCAGGGGTCCATCAGGGGTCCATCAGGGGTCCATCAGGGACCCCAGGGGTCCATCAGGGGCCCCAGGGGTCCATCAGGGGTCCATCAGGGGCCCCAGGGGTCCATCAGGGGCCCCAGGGGTCCATCAGGGTGGGGAGAGAGTTCGGGAGCAGGGAAGACGAGGGAACTGTGTTTACTTTTGTCTTCTTTTTTTGTGTCTGCCCTGCTTGGCTGCTGGGAAACGACAGCAGAGTGAGGAAGGAGAGAGGAAGACTCTGTCTGGACGGCATCGGGCCGACTGCAACCTGCAAACCTGGGACTGGTTTCCTGTAGCAGCTCAGTCCCAGCTCTACGCGATCATATCTCTCATCCCAACGCTGTAGAAACTAAAGAGCGCTTCGCTACACTGAGGACAGATGGTCCTCTTTACTGAAGGAAAACAATCATTATGTTTTATTGTTCAGCTCAGCTTGTACAACCAACAGAGAAACAAACTTCATCTCAAGGCAATCTGAAGCACAAAAGTACAAATATATATATAATTTTGCTTAATTTGCTCCAAATTCAGGTACGGCAATTAAACACAACGTGACTAACGTAATGTCTAGTTCACACGGAAACATTTTTATCCAGATTTTTTCCTTCCAATCTTAGGAACGCGCTGAGTATCTGGATGGCTCTTAAAATAAATTTAGAAGTTATTCCTTCCGTTTTTAGAAACAAAGTTTCTAAAATAAGTAATCTGCTCTGCTTGGAAAGACGTTGGGACGCTTCGATCTAAAAGGACAAGCGAGAACACAGCCTGATAAACGCAACGTGTAGCGAGTCAGAAAGCAAGGTGACAACGAATCTAAAATACCGAAGACAAAACAACGGACAATGCGATGGACATCACAGACTTGTTTCGTTTTTCCCTATGAAATATGTTCCTGAATCTACCTCTATTGCCTCTTCGCAGTCGGCCATGTTTGTTTACACTGAAACCGAGAGGTTTTATTAGATTTCTGAGCCGACAGCTAAACGTTAGTGAGAGAAATGTGTTCTCTCAGGTTTTAACTCCAGTTGTCTAAGATACCAACTGCTGGAACATTATCGAAAGAAAACCAATCAGACACGTTGAATCTTGACTTTCCTGCTCCTGAGGAAGCATGTGGCGACAGTGGAGAGAAATGATTTCCTTTCAACAGGAGGAGACTTCCAGCAGGACTGAAGACAGACAGAAACATTCATCCTGAGGCTTTGGTCTGAACCGGTCCAGGATTCTGGTGGTTCGGTTTCTTTTCACGCAGAGAAAACCCAAAGCAAACAAGAACTGGAACATTTGGTCTGTTTATGGGTCAGTTGGTCCGGGCCGGCAGAACCAGATGTACACAGGAAGCAGATGGTGTGAAATCACATCATTAGTGTTTCTGGGAACTAATTCAGGTAAAATACAGAGTGATTATGAGAAGACGTCTTAAATGTTGGACTTTATGCTCTATGGAAAAAAACCTGCATTCCAAAATGCAACACTAACCTGCTAACTAATTTGAACTAAACAAAGTTTCTAAAATAAGTAAAATATGAATATAAATAATAGAAAGTAGCTCACAATGGAATATCTAGAATGAGTTGAATAAGCCTGAAGAAGTTTATCTTTAATAAGTTAATGCATCCTAGAAATGAAGGATCAAGATTAAAATTGTTAATTCAACTGAGCTTATAGTATAGAAACTCATTTTTACAGTGTACAGCACATGATATGATGAATGAGTGAATGAATGAATTGAGGGAAAGTTTCTGAGTCCAGTCATGAAAAAATGGCAATGAAGATTTCTAAATAGTATCTTGGGCCACACACAATACACTGTAAAAAATATTAATAAAAAAAGTGATTTCAGAAGGAAAAGAGCAGGCACTCTAGCGCCACCTAGTGCCGCTCTGTGACAGTCCCTGTGCTCATTTATTATTTCATAATTACTCATTTTCTATGATTTAACAATAATATTTTATGTTTCTTTCTATTGTTTCTGTTTTTGGTCTCTATGGAAACGACTTTAAGGTTTTGTCAAATGACCTTCAAAGTAAAACAAGTTTTCAAACAAAAGGTTTAACTTCAACCTGACTTCAGGGATCAAATATTTCATTTGCAGAGAGAGAAAACGTTTCAGCTGTGCTTTTCTGGCTGCTGGTTCATCCTGAGGATGACGGGAGTTTTTATCCACTTGGAGGTTTTGCTCCTGCTGAGGCAGAGAGGGAACATGCAGAGCGATGATGAAGGTGCTTCCCTCAGCGGGGGACGCTGTACACAGAGAACATTTGCTGGAAATTTAGCATTTTGGCCAAATTTCCCCAATAAAGTTTGTACGCAAACCGCTGAGCTCAAAGTGGGAATCTGCTCTATCGTTGCTAATGTGTGTGTCTGAACAGCGGAGAGGTGGAGTGAGAGGTGTGTGTTTGGGATACCTGCGTGTGAGCTGCAGCGTGCACAGAGCCGCAGTGTGTGCCGGCGCTGAGTCATCCCACTGGCTGAGCGTGTGTGCACGTGTATCCGTGTCGGACAAAGCGTCCGTCTCCTCCCCGAGTGTGTCTGGCAGCTGGCCGCGCTCCAGCTGCGTCTGGTTGGATAATGAAGTCCAGGTGTTTCTGCGGCTGCCTAAAGACACCTGCCACTAATATTTAACGCAGCGAAAGCCAGACTGCAGAGGGAGAGACCAGCTGCCTGCTTATTTTATTAAGACCTGTCCTAAAACTGGGAGTTCAGGGATCAATGAGCCTGTGCTGGTAATCAACGTCCTCCTCTGAGTTTGGATGAAAATGCGCATGCAGGGAGGAATAAAGCACATTCTTCATACAGTTAAAACCCAAATTAAAACAGTTAGGAGAGAAATTTATAGGGAACAGTTTGAGCAAAAACACCCAAAGGAGAAACAACAATGGCAGATAATTAACCTGCTAAAGTTCAGAGATGTGCATCAGCAAGACGTTCATTAGCTTTTTCCCTCCGCAGCCAAACGTCACTCTTTAATCTCAGGCTGAAAACGCAACTGGTTAGATTATCAGTAACAAGAACATATTTGACTAAATGTAAAGTTTAAATGTATTATCATGTAATACACTTGAACTGCCTGGTCACAGAAATGTCCTATAGACTAAACTTGACCTCATTTCATGTAAAAATGTTTCGTTTCTGAAGGTTTACTAACCAGATGATAACTCAAAAAACAGATTAATTGAATTTTTCAGTGAAATTTCCTCTTAAGTCTTTGGGACTTCACCGAATCCTTGAATTTCAGGAAACTCCTTAGAGAAGCCTCCTTTTCCTGTGAGTCTGTGTCTGTTCCTGCCAGCCTTTACATACAGACATGTACGTTTCCTTATGGTCTGTGGAGCTAAACAAAGGCCTACCTGTGTAGGAGCGAAGGGAAACTTCCCTTCCTCCTTCCAGCGCTTTAGGGCTTGTTTGGCTTTTTAAAGTCCAGCTCACCCGTCTGCACCACCTGTGGCCTCTCGGCGGCCCATCTGCGTCACGCTCCACCTGCCAGCAGCCGTCTGCGCGGACCGCCAGCCGCTCTGCACGGCCCAGAAAACAGATGTTACTTTGTGTTTCGGCTGCTTGGAACTGGCTTGTTTTCAGACGCATCAAGTTTATATTGAAGCTTCGTGTAACGCAGGTAATCCTGAATATTTACAGAATTAAATATTAATCGATAAGGCAAGTTATCGATTAATGAGTTGATTGATTTATTATTTTTTTTATCTGAGTTTTCTCTTGTATTATGTGGGCTGATCATCTTTCAAAGAACTTAATTTTTCATAACGTGCTGATAAAAAAAACATAATTCATTTTTAACAATAGTTTGACTCAACTGTGTTGAAGCTGCAACATATGTGTAGTTTTTACATATTTGTTTATGGTCAGATAATCTTCCGGTGTTTTCTGGAAACAAGCAATCAGAGCCAGGAGGAGGGTCCTAGCGCTGTCAATCACCGCTTCATGTGGCGCTTCTCATTCCTATATCTTTTCATGGATTACATGTCACAACATGGTGACAGTTTTAACATATATGTAAATAAAATAAGTTACCCTCTGCACCGTTATACTGACTGAATGAACAGAAAATTGTGGTTTTCTCACATTTAAATTAGACAAATGTATAAAATATAAAATCACCGGAACCTCTTCAGTTGTTGGATAGAAAAATAAAACATGTGAAGAATAAAATGTGAAACAAATCATTGCCCATAAGCAGAGCTGTTCATCCTGTAGTTTATCAGCATCATGTATGTTTTTATCACCAAACATTAACATCTCTAACATTTTCCTCACCTTCATGGCGAATCTGTAATGAAGCTTCAGAAGTTTAGAATAATTTCTCTAAAACAGAAAGAGCCTGTCGAGCGTTTATACAGCAAAACAAAAGCGCATAAAGAACATTTTGCATCTCAGCCGGACTCAGTTCCGGTGTCGCCGCCATCTTTACTCCTGGCTCCCTTTAAGGATGAGCAGCGGCGCCCTCTGCTGGATGGCGGCCAAACTACAACAATACCAGGCTGTCCAACTGGACGTTCTTAGGAAATCGATTGGAACGCATTTAAATCTAATTAACCATTAATCAACAATTATCAGTAAGTCTATTGGTTGTTTCTCTCTCTCTGTAGTTCCAGGATAATCCCAGTAAATCTGCTGTCTGCCTGGAAATGCTTTGCTTTATGCGAGCTCCTCAAACCGCTGCAGTTTGTTGCAGAAACTGCAACAAACTGCAGTCAGAGAGGAACTATTAAGACTCCCAGTGTGTTCTCTGTGCATGAAGCAGCCGAGACTCTTGTGCGGTTTTGGAAGCTGAGAAGCCTCAAATTGGAGTTGAAACCCCCCACACGTCTCGGCTGAAAGCTTCATCCGCAGAAACTCATTAGCGGTGGCGATGCTTCCCTCCAGACCCTTCTGTCCGTGTCAAGCAATCATCGCTTTGCTGCTTTTATCCAGAGACACGTGGAGGTCTGCAGCCCCTGCATGCATGTTCTGAATGCTTCGGTTCTGCTGGAGACAAACATGCAGATCCATCTGTTGAACTGAGTGTTTTTCCTTTCCTCTGTGCAGGATGAGGGTGTGGTCATGGGAGCAGTTTGGGGAGACAGGTGTGGTCCTCTTCGGCTTCCTGACCCTGGCCATGTCTGTGGGAAACCTGTCCTCCAGAGGCCTGCAGGTACACACCACTGCAGGAGAGCACTGCAAAAACACTCAATCTTATCAAGCAATTGTATCTACTTTCTACTGCAAATATCAGAGCGCATGAGAAATAAGACAAATCTAACTTACTAGCAGCTTTTCAGCAGAACAAGAGCTCTCTTTTTGTTGAAACAGTCTATGTTATGTCAGTTTGGTGTGATGGATAATTTGTGAAAAATTAAGTTTTCCCGTCTTCTTCCAGTGCAAACTAGAAACAACCAATCAGAACCTGGAGGCGGGTCTTAGCGCTGTCAATCACAATCTGTTTGGCTCCTCATTCTTTCTCCACATCGCCTTCACAGGCTCTACTATGCTGCAGCTAGTATAGCTTGTTGTGAATGCTCAGTCTAGGTTTCTTCTAATGGTGAGTTGTTTCTCCATTAGTTAAGCATCAGCATGATTGACAGCGCTAAGCCCCGCCTCTGGACTCTGATTGGTAGTCTTTCTTCGGGAGCAGTCCATTTTTTCAGATAGCAGACGGAGGAGGTGGAGGAGATCAAGCTTTTCACAGACTGTCTGAATCATAAACTGTTATAATATGGTGACATTTTAACACATGTTAAAAATATATATATTCTTTTTAAAAAGTACATACTAATGCCAAACTATCAGCTACACTGGAAGATTATTTATCTTAAAAAAAGACATTTTCCATATTATAAATGAAATAACATACCGGTATATACCAGTACTTTTTCATCACTGTAAAGTACTTAAAAGAAACTTGTATTTCTTGCTGAAAAGCTACTTGTAAGTTAGTTTTGTCTTATTTCAAGTGAACTAAGATATTTGCACTAGAAACCAAAAATACTTGGTAAGATTTAGTGTTTCTGCAATGAACTGATCATGCAGTAAATCAATGCTGACAAAAGGAATAGACATCCAACTTAAAAAAAAAAGATCAATTGTTACATTTAATCGGATCAAGTTTGTCAAACTTTATTTTAACATGACAAGTTAATAAACTTAATATATTTGGATAAATTTAATCTGGTTACTTTTAACAAATTAGCTATTTTTTTAAAGTTGGATCACCTGTTTGCAAATGTATGTTCCACTCTTTTTATATTTTTTATTTGGGTTTTATGATGACCAGTATTTATACAGGAGGCTGAAATCTTTGCAAGTTTTTTTGGGAAACAGCTCCGTCTGTGAGCTGCTGTGTCCCTAAGATGTGTCATTTAAAGGACACATCATAATAATCATAACCAATAATTATGATTGAAAACAGATTACATTTTATTTAAAAAAGAAAGAGATAAAAATGTAGAATGAAAAACTAAATTGGATAAATTTTTTCCTTTCTGAGGCAGGAGAGTGAAGGTTTTAGGAATCTTCATCAGTAAAACATTTTGAAATCGATCTTCCATCGTCCTTCACTAATATGAGCAAAGATGTTCCATCAAATCCCAATAAAACTCATTCAGGTTTGAATAAAGAGTCTCAAAGTCTCCAGTTCAGTGTCCAGGTGTTGAAGCTCCCTGAGGTTGATAATCTGGATGTCTGGATGCGGCCTCAGAAATCTGGACTCTAATCTGGACTCTGTCACTCCTGCCTCAGTCTGTCTGGTATTTGCCGAGTTTCCCTCACAGCTGCGCTCCTCACACCTTTACAAGGAGCTCAGCGCGCATTCCAGCGACCCCTCGGACGGATCTGTTTGAATAAATGGATGCCGCCTTCAGCCGGCCTAATGCTGCTAATCCGGGCCAGGAATGTGGGAAGCCTCCATACAAAAACACGATGGCCGTCACTTCGCGGGCCGGGATTTGTTCTGGTTCCTGACGCACGCTCCCGTGACGCTCCGACAATCCTACAGCTGTTGTTGTTACTGTCAGGAGCTTAGGCTCTCTACACATCGGCAAAACAAACCGGTTCTGCTGCGCTTGCACCTGAACACACCAGAACCGACCCAGGTTCTACTTCAGCGCTTTGGTTTAGGAGCATTTTTATTCCAAGAGAAGTGCATCATTATTTACGTGACATGAGAACCAATGAAATAGTAATAAAAAAAGAATGATGGCTTTTTCTCTGAATTACTGCTTTTTTAAAATTAAAATTACTTTTGATCGCGAAAGATTTAAATCAGAATTCTGAGGAAAATTTCAAAATTTTCAAGAAAAAAACTATGGTAATTTCTGAGCTTGAAAAGTCGAAAATTTGGTAGAAAAAAAATCAGCAATTTTGATGTTCATGTCAAATTTTCTAAAGAAAAGGTGGAAATTTGGTGGACTTTCAGAAGTCCATTAAAATTCAGAACATTTTCAAAAGTTGAAATGTTTTAGATTTAAAATGCAGAATTTTTTTCACTACAAAATTTCAGAGCTTAATCTGAACATTTCTCAGTTTCTCTTGGAAATTCTCAACTTTTCAAACTCAGAAATTTCTGGTTTGTTTCTAGAATATCTCTGAGATTAATCTGAGAAATTCTCTGTCAAATATTTGACTTTTCAAATTCAGAAATGTTTTCTTAACCCTAGAAAGTTTCTGCGTTCAATCTGAACATTTTTGAGTTTTTTGGCAGAAAGGCACTCGTCCTATTTTTCTGTCTGCAGAGGAAAGGCATAGAGCTGAGAAAGGAAGACAGAATTTAGTTTTTAGTGGTCCTAATCCTCTTCCGTAGTATTAATCACATTCATACTGTCTGTTGTAATTCTCCGTTTCACCAGGAGGAGGGCGCTGCGTCCAACAGCCTGGAGGACCAGCAGGAGGTCACCACCTACTGGTGGGGCGAGTGGGCCAAGTGGACGGCCTGCACCCGGACCTGCGGCGGGGGGGTGATGTCCCAGGAGCGCCACTGCCTCAAACAGAGGTCAGGCAGTCGGTCAGGCAGTCGGTCAGGCAGTTGGTGAACCAGTTCAGATTGCTGGTGACCCGGTTTTATCAGCTGATTCAAATGAACTAACAGTGGAGAAAACCAAAGAGACTCATTATTTACACTTGAAAAAATGCAGTTGCTGCAGAAAAACGTCAGAAATATTTTGTGGGAATTAAAACATGAAAGAAATGATCAAAAAGAGAAGGATGTTAAAAATAACACAGAGCAAGATTTCTGTAGCAATGTGCTTGAACTACAACAGTTCATTTTTATTTTTAATACAAGAAAAAAGTCAAAATATTAGCTGAATAAAGACACATTATTAATATTTTCTTCCATATGTAAAATGTAATGGAGGTGAGAAATAAGGAAAAAGATTTAAAGAACAAAATAAGACGAGAGAAACGACACTCTGGAAGTTTGTTTCTAATCTTGCAGAAAGAGAAAAAATAAACAAAACTGAGAAACTATAGTGATAAACATATTTATGTACAATAAAAATAAAACTTAGAAAATACTAGATGATACAAGACGCATTTACTGGCAAACATACAGAGTGTATGTTTCGAAACATTTATGTCTTTAAATGTGTAAATAATCAGTGGAATCATCTTTCAGTTTGATTAGGAGCTTTAATTTAATTATTATGTGTGTTTTTCTCATCTTCTCAGCCTGATATTTAGCTTTAATGCGCCGCCGTTTCTCCAAACGTTTGTTTTCTGTTCAAAGAAAGAAAGTTGCTGCTGGAAAGGACAACATGACCTGCACAGGAACGGCCAAGAAATACCATCTCTGCAACACCGGAGTGAGTCTCAGACTTCCTCCTCATCACTTCACATCTGTACAAAAACAAACATGGCCGCTCCAGCTGGCTCCCCGTCAGCAGGAACAGATTCAAACTGTCCTCAACAAACAGAGACAAAGACATTTCCAAAACAGACTGTAAAACCAGAGGACAACATCAGAGGCTTCATGTCTTTAATAAAACAAGTTTTATTATTTAACTTAAAATATTGCATATTGAATTCATTAAAAGTATTATAGAAATTAATATATGCTTTACATTTATGTTTTTATGTCCCAAATACATTTTAAATATTTCTTAAAATTAATATTTCAATAATTAAAAATACTTTACAATTGTTAAACTCTGCATTTCAGAGCAGAATGTTTTATCTCTCCTGTAACCCTGGTTAAGTTTCAGTGAGACAGCAGGAGACAGGGGGAGACATGAGGAGACATGAGGAGACATGAGGAGACATGAGGAGATAGGAGGAGACATTAGGAGACATCAGGAGATAGGAGGAGACATGAGGAGACACGAGGAGATATGAGGAGATAGGAGGAGACATGAGGAGACAGCAGAGACATGAGGAGACAGCAGAGACATGAGGAGACATGTGGAGACAGCAAAGACATGAGGAGACATGAGGAGACAGGGGGAGACATCAGGAGATAGGAGGAGACATGAGGAGACATGAGGAGATATTAGGAGACAGGAGGAGACAGCAAAGACATGAGGAGACATGAGAAGACATGTGGAGACAGCAAAGACATGAGGAGACAGCAGAGACATGAGGAGACATGAGGAGACAGCAGAGACATGTGGAGACAGCAAAGACATGAGGAGACATGTCTCATTGTCCTCTGTCTGCAGGACTGTCCCACCTCTGGGAGGAGCTTCCGGGAGGAGCAGTGCTGGTCGTTTAACTCGCAGCGTTACAGTGGGAGGAACTACCAGTGGAAACCTCTCTATCCGGGTAAAATCATCCTAACAACACTCAGCCACAGCCGGCCCAAGGCAGAAGCAAACTAAACAAAACTTCTGGTTGTTTTTGTGTTTGAGGAACAAAGACTTATTAAAGTTGCAGTGTGTAACTTTTATAAAAAATATGTTTCTTACATATTTGTTAAAATTATCGCCATGTTGTGATGTGAAACATGAGACAGATAATCTATGGAAAGATCCTATTTCCGTCTGAAGAAATGGAAAACTCATGATCAAACACAACCTATCAGAGCCAGGAGGCGGGTGTTAGCGCTGTCAATTACTGTCTCAGTGGCGCTGCTCATACCCCTGCGCTGCAGATGTGAATGCTAAAGCTAGTTAGCTCTGGGAGAAGACAGAGGAGTTTGATGTTTTGCTACAACATGGTGGCAGTTTCAGCAAATATGTGGAAAAAAAGATAAAAGTTAAATAAATAGTTCATATTAATTAAAAGATTTTAAATTGTTTAAAATTTAAAGAATTTTGCGAAATTAAGGAGAATAATCTTTAATGTTTGTTGTGTTACCGTAGTAACAATCTGATGCTGGGAGTTTAATCTTTGTTTTCTGTTTGAGTTCAATTTGTTCACACATGCAAATAATGAATGAATCTCCCAGATTTCAATCCAGATTCCATCAATCTTTTAAGAATGAATCAGCAATGAGTTAGTAAAGGGAATCGTACCCTGACCCGTCTCCTCCTCCTTGTCTTCAGATGATTATGTTCATATCTCCAGCAACCCCTGCGACCTCCACTGCACCACGACCGACGGCCAGCGGCAGCTCATGGTGACGGCGCGAGACGGCACCTCCTGCAAGTACAGCAGCTACCGCGGCGTGTGCGTGGACGGGACGTGTGAGGTGAGTCTGACCCGCTTCTGCCGGATTTCAGCCCCATGTTTACAGGAACTCTTGACCTTTTCTCCCGAAGTGCATGTGTGAGGTCAGACACTGATGTTGGCTGAAATAAATAGAATGGGGAAAAACTAAAACTAATTGGAACTATATTGTGTTTATAAACCTAAAACATACTGAAATTATAGATATTTGTTTCTGTGTTTCTGAATCTATTTATTGGCTTTTTGATCTGATGAGAAATAGATTATTTTTATGTCTGCTGTCGGAAATTTATGGCACTTATGCTGGTCCGTAAAATGGTGGCAGCAAAAGTTTTGAGAAAACTCCAGAGTCAGTTGGTTGTTCAACAATAATTAAATACATTATGAGAGAATTTTAGAAAGTATCTTCTGCTCAGTATTCATCACCCAAAGTTCAAAACCTTGACCTTTTTCAATTCTGCATCCAAAAATTAACCAAAGTATGAAAAACTAAAACGACACTGTAACTCATAAAAACTAACCTGAAACTAAACATGAATTTAGCAACAAAAACATTTTTGCTTCCTGCTTTGGTCTGCAGCCGATCGGATGTGACGGGGTTCTGTTTTCCTCCAACACGCTGGATAAATGCGGCGTTTGCCAGGGAGACGGCAGCAGCTGCAGCAGAGTCACTGGAAACTTCCGGCGTGGAGCCACAACGCTGGGTGAGCCTGCCGGGCTTTGACTAGGCACCAAAATACAAATATCCACACGCTCAGGATGTCTGTGTTGCGTCTGGTTCAGGTTATTCTTTCATCACCCAAATCCCTGATGGATCCTGGGATATCCAGATCATCGAGAGGAAGAAATCAGCCGATGTTCTCGGTGCGATCTTTATTTGACAGTGAATCAGAAGTCAAACTTGAACTCGGCTGAGTTTCCATTGCTTTGCGTTGCAGCTGTGACCGACCAGGCAGGAAACTTCTTCTTTAACGGCGCCTACAAGTTGGACAGTCCCCAGAACTTCCACGCCGCGGGAACCATCTTCAAGTACCGGCGGCCCATGGACGTTTACGAGACTGGGATCGAGTACGTCGTGGCCAAGGGCCCCATCGACCAGGCCATAAACATCCTGGTACAGACGCATCAAGAACTCCTTTAGTTTCCTCTGGGGGCCGCCGTCCCCCAAAGGGTTGCCAGATTGGGCGGATTTTCACCCATTTGGGCTTTTTTAACACAAAAAGCATCTTTTCACAGCATTTGGCAGGTTTCATCTGTGAAAGTCTCTGTTGGTTCAGGTGTGGAACCAGAACGGCCGGACGCCCTACATCTCCTACGAATACACGGTGCTGCGGGACTCCCTGCCGCCCGTCCCGCCGCCGCCGGTCTACACCGGGTCGGACACGTCCACCGCCGAGGTGTCTGTGGAGGAGGACAGCCCCGCGTCGCCCAACGGCAGCGTCTACCAGCAGAAGGTCCCCGGGGGCCCGCTGGAGGCGGGCGGGGCCGACGGGCCCAAGGGCCAGGAGACCAACGAGGTGTTTGAGGAAACGACGGCCCTCAACTGCGAGGAGGACGAAGCCGGGCTGCAGAAACTCACAGGTGAGGACAGAACCAGACACGTCCACTCGATGGGAAACATTTGATTCATTTATATTCATTGCTGATGTAAAAACCTAATATATATATATATATATATATATATTTGCTCCTTTCTCAAAATAAATGAAGTCATATTATAATTACTTGATTCATGTATTACTTTGACTTTATTCTGATAATATTTTACGATTTAATGTTTGTGTTACTTCAACCTTTTCTTGTACAATTATGTTGTCATAATATGATTTTACTGTGATCATTTAATTAATTTTTCCCTAGTATGGATCTAATACTCTATCATAGTATTTTTTTCAATAGTTCTACTTTAAATATATATAAAAAAACCTGAGTTGAAATCAAACTGCTCAGATAATTAGTGATAAAAACGTGAAAACAAAGATTTGTTTAGAATAAACCAGATATTGTTGGTGATGCGGTCAAACAGATCCTCTCTACTGTAAGTCAAATATAAATGTGATTTTGTGTTTTTGTTGGACGGAAACAGACGATCCAGTTTCACTGAGATTCTTTCATGCTCCATTTTCTGCATGTGTGTGAGATGACCCTTCAGGCTCTGCATTATTCAGAGAACAGACACATAAAGGAAACCAGCAGTTGATGAAAAATTCAGAATTTCGTGGCGTTTTTGTCTTTTAAAAATGGCCGCATCAGAAGCACGAGCACTAATGGCTTTCCTGCTGCCTCTCGGTTCACTGCGCCGGAGGCAGGACTCGCAGCGCGGTGACTCCGTTTCCCGACGACCCAGGCTCCTCGTTCCAGTTTTGTTTACTGTAATCAATTACAGTTAATTGCTGACAATCAGATTCTGCACTGGAATCAGTTTCTATTTCGCTGAACATCTTATAGGTGGAAAAGTAATTTCTCTGTTTCTGTTTGAGAAAATCTGTGATTTTGCATGTTTTTGTGTTTCCAAAACCTTCAGTCACAATTAACGTGCTCTGTCCGTTACCTAGCAACCCGAGCTGAGCGCTGCCCCGTTACCTAGCAACCCGAGCTGAGCTCCAGCAGGTTTTAGCCAGGTACAATGGCTGCTGGAAAAAACGAGTGTTTTATTGTCTTCCCAAACAGAAACCACTTGCTGCATTCTTGTTGGTTGTGCAGGAGGCTCCACTTCTGCTTTTCAAACATGTACAGCTGTATAGTTGTACAGCTATTTTCATGTGCGAGTCGGGGGGCGGGGCCAGCAGCTGCTTATTTGCATTTAAAGTGACAGACACCCTAAAACGGCTCAAAGTGCAGAACAGAGCAGAATAAATCTCGTTATCTAGGAATTATTTAAAAATGAAGTGAACATGTTTTGTAGAGACAGAATAGGAGACGTTTACAGCCAGTGGCGCCGCTGATCAAAGCTAATCGTCTCTGATCCGGGTCAAGGAAACAGCAGCCAAACTCACGGCACCGCCAAGCCTCCCCTTGATGATGGCGCCCTGGACTCGGGGTCGGACTCCACCAACCTGATCTGGCGGGTTCTGCTGAACGGACGGATGGGTCCGGATGAGCTGCTGATCAACATCTCCACCAACCAGCTGCTGACGGAGGGCGACGCCCTGTTCCCCCCCGAGGCGGGCCTGAGCGACCCGCAGCGGCCGGCCGGCCCGCTGGACCTGAACGACACGCTGGAGTTCGCTCTGGGCCACAGAGGCAACGACAGCGGGGACAACCAGAACCACACGGCCCAGACCGGCGCCGGCCGCTTCAACAGAACCAGGTGGGATCGAACAGAACCCAACGATAATTCTATAATTTATTGATCATCGAACAACAGCCAGGAGGAAAAAAACACAAATTACCTGATAATGTGTAACGAGGAGTTAATAAGTTTAAATTATGAAACTTAAGTCAGAGCAAAAAATTACAAGTTATAAGTATTAAAACTGGAAATAAATCCTGAAATAATAAAATGAATTATTTGCTTGAATTTAGTTAAATGATTTCAGTGTCATGACTCGTTAGGATGACGTTACTGAAATCTTGGATTTGTTTCTGTTGAGTCAAAATGTTATAAATTAATGACGTTTTGAAATTTCAATAAAACAATAAAAAGTAAAGATGATGATATTTTCAGTGCTTTCAGCTTCTCTCAGCTGTTTTTTTAAGTTTAATGTGTGTCAGAAGAGAAGAAAATCTCAATTCTTTGCAGATTTCTGAATTTTGCGTTTTTCCCACATTCTTCCATTTTCTTATAATTTTGTTCATAAAACCCAAACTGTTGCAGGCGACAGCAGATGGACGCTTACACACAAGTCTTAATTCAGCTTTCAATAACTGTTACTTTGATTTGTCATAATTATGCTCCAGATATGTTGAGCTCTAGATGACGAATCCGCTGACATCATTTCAGATATAAGGAAATTTGACTCGTCAAAATGTAACAGAAAACATCTTTAATTTTTATTCTTCCTAGTCAGGATGTAACACAAATATTTTATATCACCACTCAGGAAAGTTAGAATACATTTAAGATATCTCTGACGTAATTCCAGATCAGAGAGATTTTATGTGCTTGCCGTAGAGGTTTCTATACTTCCTGTTTTCTGCGTGGCTCTGGCCCACTGCGATCTGACCGCCGCTGACCGTCTCCGTGTTTCACCAGGGGGAATCAGAGGCTCTTCCAGAAGAGTCTGAGCGCTGCAGACATGTACCGCTGGAAGCTTTCCTCCCAGGAGCCGTGCAGCATGACCTGCTCCATCGGTACCGCTGCGGCCCGACGGGCTCAGAGTGTCTGAAACCAGAACTTCTTCACTCACACATGAAGCTCCTTTATGCATTTTCTAAGAAATTGTTCAGAGGAGAGCGTTTTTATGTCTTATTAAATCATAATGATAATATTAATGATTAATGATCATTAAAACTAATTTTTATGAAATAAGGCTCGTCTCTTTAAATTAGAAAAATTCTCATCATAACCAGATTCATGATATTTCTTTTGTTGTTTTGCATCTTGTTATAAAAATATGCAACAAGTTAAATTTCTCTATAATAAGATACAAAACTTACTAAAGTGTAAAATGTTCTTGTTTCAATGAAGCATTTATAATTGTCATAAAGAGATGAAGTTTTGTTTCCCTTTATAACTTCCTCTTTATAACAAAGTTATTAAAATGAGAAACCTTTTCATTTTAATGTGAAATTTATAATTATAAGAAGACAACATTTTCTATATCGTTATAATGAGACATAAAAGTCGATCTCGTTAAAGCGAGTCTCATTTTATCGAGGAATTAGGATCGTTTAGTGAATACTGACCTGCAGGAATAACTTTAATCTGGTCCATCCAGGCGTGTCCAAGTCCTTCGTCACGTGTGTTCGCTACGACAGCGTGGAGGTCCACGACATGTACTGTGACCCTCTGACTCGGCCGGAACCGGTCCACGACTTTTGCATCGGCAGAGCGTGTCAGCCGAGGTAGAGTCGGTTCGAACGTCTCCTCCCGTCACGACCCAGTTTGTCCCAGTTTGTCCCAGTCTGAGGTGGATGTGGGTTTTCCAGGTGGGAGGCCAGCAGCTGGAGCGAGTGCTCCCGGACCTGCGGCGAGGGCTTCCAGTTCCGGCAGGTCCGCTGCTGGAAGATGCTGTCCCCGGGCCTGGACAGCTCCGTCTACAGTGACCTCTGCATCATGGCCAACCTGGAGCGCCCCCCGGAGAGGCGCGCCTGCAAGAGCCCCACCTGCGGCCCGCAGTGGGAGGTGGCGGAGTGGACGGAGGTGAGGCTCAGGATTCGGTTGTAGAAACAAACTCCTTCCACTCTGGATCCAAATCTCTTTGTTTTATTTTCAAGTGAATTTTGTTTTCAGTTCCTCTGAGCTGTTGGTGAAGGTCAGGGCCGGTCCCGGGCTTTTTGGGGCCCTGAGCAGATTTTCATTTGGGGCCCCCCATTCCAAAATGTCAACACCAGGTCTTTTATCATTTATAAGCTGCTCTCTGTGTAGCACACAGGCCTGTCGCAGTCAGCAGTAAATCAGCTGATTTATAAATAAATTAAAACAAACTCAATAATCACCATTGCATGAATCATCATTTTTTTCTCTGATCTCTTTCTGCCAAGAACTGGATGATAAAACTCTTCAGTGTTTTGGTCGTTTTTTTAAGACAATTTTGTTTACAGAGATTTTATGATTAATTTTATTTCTTGTTTCCGTTTTGTTTAATTATTTTGGAAATGAAAAATGTCTTCCAGTGTTTAAAGTTTATTAAAATTCAAAGTTTATTGAACTTTATTGAGCTGATCCGGGGCTGCGACCCGCTCACCAAGCCGGTGCCCATGCAGACTTTGGGAATGTCTTCCTGCATTAATGACCCATTGCCATCATATTACATGAAAATAGTCTCAAACAATAATATAATCAGTTTTGTAACTTTGGAGACGATTTGTCATTCAGTAAAATGTTTTATCATGACATCATACCAGTCTTATTATAGCTGTAGATTTCAATCTTATAGTCATAGCAAATTAAAGAGAAATTATTTCTTTTCTTGTCTCAGATCTAAATTTCTGCAGATGTTTTATTTTCTTGCTTTTTGTCCTCAGTAATCTCTAATCTGTCTCTGCCGCAGTGCCCGGCCAAATGCGGCCGTAGAGCTCAGGTGACACGAGACGTCCGCTGCTCCGATGAGACCCAACCCTGTGACCCCATGACCCAGCCGCCAAACCTGAAGAACTGCACAGGGCCGCCCTGCGAGCGCTACTGGACCGTGTCGGAGTGGGGCCCCGTGAGTTTCCGCCTGCAGCCGCAATGCTTCCTTCGTCTCCAAACCATTTTGATATTTTTTAACATGTTTATGTTTCTTTATGGAACATGATGTGTAAACATTTTATTAAATTATTGCATGATAC